ACACTCGCTGATAAAACCATCTCCTCTCTCTCTCTTTCAGATGCAGCTGTCGCGGCACACAGACATTTACTTACTGACGGACATGGACACTGATAATGTGGATGAGAGATAGGACACATTGTGAACGGACGATGAACTGATGACCCGACAGAGGCATGGGACCACAGAAGCTCGGCCAGTATGTGTTCATCTTCACCTCCCTGTGCCTTTTTAAAGTGTCCTTACAGCACAGTGTGGTACACCCACAGATGTCTGATCTAATGATGGATTTTTTTTTCCCATCGCAAATGTCTCAGTGACTTAAGCTAAAAAATATTTATGCAAATAAATAATGGTTAAATATGTCTGAAAGATTTAGTTTCCTTGAGTGTGACACAGTAAATAACATCAAGTTTCAGACAAAACAATCACACCCTAAGGTCCAATATGTCATGTTTTGCCAACCAGATGCTACCATTAGGAAATTTAGTTTTCCATTCAGAAATCACACAGTAAATGACGCACTATTCCACATCACTAGGATGCCAGAGTCTTGAGTTCAGAGACACAGTTGCCAGTGTTTTCAGTCGTTGCTGCACTAAAGATGCTGTGGGCCTCCAATATGGCCACCATGCTGTATATTTAATTTAGCCTCTTCATAGTTTAACTGACATGACATTAAAAAAATGTGATTTTGCCGCTGTCACACATCCTCGTAGAGTGAGAACAGGAAAAAGTCTGATGTGAATGCTGGATAATTTATTCATAAAAAGGAAAAACCAAAGCTATGGCATGATGTTCACATGTAAGCTAAACTCTTACATGATTTAAAATATTCGTCCAGATGTTAATATTAAATAAATACATTGTTATAATTAATATATTGAATATGAACATGACATTTGAGAAGTATATAAGGCATGTCTGTGTGATTAGTCACACTTTTCCCTGTGTTATGACAGTTTTATGTCATTTTATGCACAGTTATGCATTTATTTAAGTTTCTGAGATTAACCCCTCTCAGAGATAAAAGTCTGTACAGCCTTTGTATCTCCAAGTCTTTTGAGGACCGTTCATAAATTATTCTGCTGATTGTAATTTTTTTTTTCGTTAAAAAATATTCAATTGTTTCTTTTTTTTTGTTATTTTGCTTCAGATATATACAAACAAAACACAATAAAATCAACAATACAACATGAAACGAAACGAGACAGAAAGCAGAACCTAGTGGTGACCTTTCTTCCCCATCCCATACTCATGGATCTCCATATGATATTTACAGGAAATAAAGAGTGCAAATTAATAAATTATAGGTACCGTGTGTAGGATTTAAAATTCTTTTTCAATGGTCCTTGGTGGTTGTATCTAAAAAGACACGTGGCAGTCCATTTAAGCCACATGATGTGTTCAGCACATGCACACATTCCCATTTAATTCATTTAGGAATTTAAGGTCATAAATTTGGAGTAGAAGTTTAATATGAGTGATTAGAATTGAATGCAGTACTTGGAGTCTGATCTGCTGAAATCTGTCCCCAGGCATCTCATTTATCAGTTCTTGTACATAAGAATATAATAATTTGGTATCTTCTATTATTTCTATTTAATTTTCTCATAAGTTCTCCTTAATGTCACTGTCAGTTAAAATTAGCTTGTTCATTTATGTGTAGTTTATATTTTTTATAAATGTTACTTTAAGCGGATGGTTAGTTTGGTATATATGTTATTATTTTGTTCAGCTTCAGCTTTTTGGGAGTTATAAGCAGCAGCAAGCCTTTTTTTAAGCCAAAATTGTGCATTGGTGTGATGTGTGCAAAAGTGCATTATATTACATAAACATGGGGCATTTAATATCTTAAAGGAAAATGAAAGGAAAAGTTAGAAATTGGCACTGTGGTGTCCTCGTGTCCTCCTCAGGGGTGCTCGTGTCATGACATAAGATCGTTTTGGTTCCTGTGCTCCAGTGTAACAGGAGTTTCATGGTAGTTTGTCATTGTAGAAAACATGAACACGTTTGATTGTATCAAATTTGGGAGACAAGTGTTAGGTTAGCAACAGAATGATAATATGACAAATGCCTATAACTGTGACAAGCAGATACTTCTTGTGAAACTCAGAATTTTTATTTTTTTTACAGAAAATAAAAAGAGTGCAGAGATGATACAAGAGAAGACAGAAAATGATAGGAAATAATAACTCCAAACAACAATAGAATCTGTAATGCAAAACATTTTACAGTTATGATTGTGCACTGCTGGTTTGACCTGATAAATGAACCATAACCTTTCCTCGACCAAATACTGAGCTGCACTGTGTGTTATATTACAACTGTGCAGACGACCACAGTGCCTCCTGCATTCACCACTGTGCCTCATTTCTAAGATTTCTAGCACACTATTCAGTCAAAAACAATTACAAATCAATTCAAGAAGCTCACATTGTTGTAGGTGGAACACAAGTTTGTAAGAATATAAGTTGTATGGTTGAAGTATAGTGAGGCTGACAGTGATATTTTAAAAGTCTAATATATTTTCAGAAGTGTTTTCTTTTAGCCATTGTGTTCTGAATTTGCCATCACCCTTTCTGAAAGACTGATATCTTTCTTAGGAAATGTATATGCATATTTTTTTCATTTCTAGATGCTTATATGACTTGTTATTCCAAGTCTGAAATGATGTCATGCCAAATACAAACCAACTTTTTGTGTGAAAGACCTTTTTAGTAATATGCAAAAAAAAAAAAAAAAAAAAAAAAACATCCTTAAAAAATGAAGCACTTGATTACAAATGAAATGGGCCAAGGTGTAATTGAAAGCTTTAAAATATTGTTAAATGTTGGAGGACCACTGATGGGATCACAGCATAAAGTTAATGCTTAGCAGTTTGGAGGACTCAACATTCACTGGACATATCTCACTGCAGGACATATGCATTTGGTCAAAGAATGTAAGTCAGGCGTACATCTCCAGATGACCCTCTGGCTGTGTGAAAAACCAACTTCTAATTAAATCTATCAAAACATGATAATGCCCTCAGTCATACCATATTTTTTAATTGGCATTATTTGTTGCAATGTAATTTAAGTGTCTGAATATGGGAACACCTGTTGGGATTGTCAGAGACCATTTTCTGCTTCCATGACCAGACAGGAAATTGGTACTGTACTGTAAATTACATTAAATGTGCTATTTCTGATTGGGTTCAGTTTCACAGTATGATACAGTATTAAGACCCTACAAAAAAGGGGGGTTTCTAAATATGTTTTTGTCATCACATCTGTTTTAAATGATCTGCCAGCTCTTGTTATATGTTTAAATATTTTTTCTTGTTGAATAAAATGTACCTTTGAATATTGTGCCTTACAAAATCTTTGTTTCTGTATCTGTATTATATCTTCTTTAGTGGAAAAGAAAGGACAGGAAGTCATTCCTGGAGTGTATCTCGGGTCTTATTCATAAAAATCTTATGGGGGGAAAAAACTGTAGAATTAATCACAGTCAGCTGCTCCGTATTCCCACTGAATGAATCTTCATGTTGCTGTTTATTTATTTGTAGAAATTAGTTTAGATAGCATACTGTTAATTGTCAAAATATGACCATCCAGTTCACTGTAGAGGTTGTTATTGGTTACATCTTAACGTCCAGTCTGCTGAATGTAGAAAATATTCATTTTGATGACCAAACACAATGTTGCTCTTCTAAGACAGAGAAATATATATTTTTGTAATTTTTCAATTAGAAAACACTATAGTTCTTCAGTTTTATGTTTTATGTCTTCAGCACCTGTGGTTCACTGTATCCAAAGGACCAAACCTAGGTCCATTTGAATGCCTTCTAAGCATCAGTTTTCTCAGTATAGTGGTTATTAATTCTGGTGGCATGCATTTAGGTCACTCCACAAAATACATTTTGACATAAAACATAAAAGTTAGACATAGTAACATTTATAATAGTTGAATTCTGTTTAGTTAGCCTATGTCCTGGTACCATGCACCTTATATTTTACTTTTGTGAGTGCTGGGAAATTCATCTACATCGGTCTCTGATTTGACAGCTCCAATGCTGAGGAGCAATACAGTGCACATTTTAGTCCATAGCAGAGGTTTGATCGGGTGACTTTCAAAACTCACTTTCACCAGTCTAGCCCACTAGATGACTCTGCACACCTAATATTGAAGCAGTTGTGAAGGCTAAGAGGTGCAGCATTCAGGGGCAAGTTAAATGAGTATCCTACTTCATGTAAAATGCTGCTTTAGAGGCTCTTCCACCCCGACCTGCATACAGTTCTCTGAAAAAACAATAAATACTTCTCGTAGTCATACTTAAAGATATTGAGCATTGTGCAAAATATTGCCAACCAGCAGCTTCAGTACAAAACAATCTGTATCAGACTTCTATTTTAAAACACTTTTGGTGCAACCCTGCAGCTAAGGTACGGCCAAAACTTGGTTGTAGACTGATTGTGGAAAAACTGAGACATATTGTTAAAAAATGCACTTTTTTCTTAAGATACCTCAGGCTGTTCATCATCTGTTATTAAATACATAACTGTTTTTAAAATGTACTTGTACTTTACACTAAAATGAAAGGAAAAATGTGAAGGTTGTTATTATTTTGAGGTTATTATACAATGGTTTTATTGGTCCGGCCCACTTGACATCAAATATGGCTGAATAAGGCCCATGAACTTCAGTTTGACACCCCTGGTGTAGGGGTCGTATGCTAGTAGTAGCTGGACTGCGGCTGCCCTCTTCTAAAGTATGTTAATTATTAAAATAATTTCATGTCACGTGAGCTACAGTGCTGTAGTTAGTTAGTTAGTTAGTTAGTTAGTTGAACACATGCTCGTCTTCAGTTAATATCAGTCGACAACAGGTTTTCCCACTATAAACCCAACAACATTCCTCTAGTGAAGCAGGCCCGCTCTGCGCAGGGAGGTTGCCTTGGTAACCCTACAGGAAGCCGTTGGCATCTTCCCGGCCACGCGGCGGCGCTGTCTCGCGCGCGGCTCCATCCTGTCCAGCAGCTCCGTTGCTACGTCACCACATTTCCACCGAATGCGATGGAACAGCGTGTAAGAGCGTAAAGGTGGTCTGAGGAAACACTGCCAGGAACTTGTAAGTTGAATGAAAAGGTGACAAACTGTGTGTGTTTGTGTCACAACCTGCCTACGGTTCGTGCTAGTCGGACGGAAACGTTACTGTAGCTACCATTGGCTGTGAGCTTACCGGCTAACTTCTTACACTTGAATGTTTCTTTCGCCGGTTGATGTGTCAGCCTGTGTTGTGGTGTAATCTGTGTTTAGATGCAAGATGAGGGAAGCGGCCGTGCTGCTCACACCGTGTGTGCTTCTGTGTCTCCTCCTGAGCTTCAGCCAGGCAGCCAGGCAAGGACAGGACATCAGATGTGGTGGTATGTGTCTCTGTCTCAAGCCTCACTCTGTTCAGGACACAACACACACAGAGGTGGAGTAATGCCTGCGTGTCCTCTCCCTATGCTCCCCGCAGCTTGCAGGGCTCTGGTAGATGAGATGGAGTGGGCCATATCTCAGATAGATCCCAAGAAAATGATCCAGACGGGATCCTTCAGGATCAACCCGGACGGCAGCCAGTCCATCAGAGAGGTGAGACTGCAGCAGCAGCAGCACAGCCACGTAGTAATGTGTCCAACCCACTCTGGAGGCTGCACTACTTCACTACTAGTAGTGCACAGTGGAGTAGTGCTACATGTGTGTTTTATTACAGTAGGGGCTGACTTATCAACTGTTTCTTATTGGATTAAGATGCTACCACAAATCTAACTACTAACTGATTGGTCAACTATTTTGATGCAGGATTAATAGTTAAAGAGATTTTTAAAAGAGAAAATATGTCAACCATTCTCTGGTCACAGCTTCTCAGATTTCTTTGTCCTCCATGATAGCAAACTGAGTCTGATAGGGTTTTGGACAATTGGCCACACAGCATAAGACATCTGATAACATCCCCCTGTGCTCAAGGACATTTTAATGGCCATCACTGTTTCTTATGTTTTATAGACTTAACATTTAATTGATAATTGAGAAAATAATCTGCAGATTAATCAGTAATGGAAATAATCTCCAGTAGTAGCACTGTTGCTAATAATTTACAGTAAGGTGACCACGATTTGGGCTGTCTATAGACACTCAATACTTAAAGTGCTGACTAAATTGTGTCCTTCATGACCTTTGATGCCACCAGGTTCCTCTGGCTCGCTCAGAGGGAAACCTCCTTGAGCTGATGGAGATAGTGTGTGAGAGGATGGCTGACTACGGGGAGAGTACAGATTCTTCCACAAACAGGAAGTCCTACGTTAGGATAAAGTCTCGGGACGGTGAGGCCATGGACCTCTCAGAGGCCACGCTGGATTCAAGAGTTACAAGCAGTTTAAAATTTGCAGTGAGTACAAAATTGCACCGAATGATTATTAAATGCACCATCATATGTTTCAATGGACTTGCATTATATATATACTGTGAATTGTGCAGTTTGTAACAGTTTCTTTTAACTTGTTTCTCCAGTGCGAAACAATTGTTGAGCAGCATGAAGATGAAGTCATTGAATTCTTCTCTCATGAGACAGATAATGTCAAAGACAAACTCTGCAGCAAGAGGACTGGTATGTTTTTGGCTCGCTTAATATGGCTTTCTTTAATGCTGAGTTGTCCACCCTTGTTGTGTTGTTTCCCTGCAGCCACTGTACTCTAGTAAAAATCATCATCATGTCATCATTAAATAAAAAAAAAAATGTTTTCCTGTCCTGTGTGCTCTGCAGATCTCTGTGACCACGCTCTGAAAATGCCCCACGACGAACTTTGATATCATCTAGCCATGGATGCCATCTCTTCTCAGCTGAAACGGAGACATTAGGTGCTGTAACATTTTCAGTTGTCTCCTATCACCGGTTTACACCAAGGCAGCAGTGGAAGACATGTACAAATCTATATGTAAGATAAGGAAGTCCACCTGAAAACTAAAGTGTTATTCCTGTGGTCTGTGACAATTTAAGGACCAGTTTTCCGTTTTTAGCCGAAACTCTTTTGACTATCTTGTCACTTGTTTTCTTACTGTAAGTTATCATACTTCAATATTCTGTATTTCATGTGAGGGCTTATCTAGCCTTCAGATGTTCTCATCAGAAAAAACAAACTGTGAAACTGCAAAAATGAAGTTATACTTCCCAGTGTGTACAGGATTTCTTACAGGATTAATTGTGTGTATATACAGTAAGCAGTCTAATTTAGCACACAAGTACACAGAGAGCAGGCTGAAATTTGGTCAAGTGGTCCTTAAGTCTGTATTCATTTGCTCTGATAAAGTCTCTCCCAAAGCCAGGAAGAAGTGCATTGAAACCATTGGTGCTTATTATTCATAGTGAATGGACATCAGTGCTCACCAATCAAAGAATCATTTGATGACAAATTCTATTTTATATCTACTAAAATTGTTATGCTCACCGATTTTTTTCGGAAGATCACAGGAATAACTTGTTTCATATGAATATTTCCATCAGATAAAGTGAAAAGTTAAAGGCACATTATGTTCCATCAGAAATGACGACAATCTGGGATTTGAGTGAAATTGGTTTCGCTGCTTCAAATGACAAAATGTGCCTTTATTGCTGAAGAAATGTCTTCCCATGCAATGTCACACTCCGCATAGAGGGTTTTAAAATGTATAGTGTTTTGCAGTCTCTATACACTTTAAAACACACACCAAGGACTTTCATTTGTTTGACAACAAAATATTTTGTTTAAAATGGCTGAAATGTTGATGTTAAAATATGTTAATAGTAACGGTGGTTGTGTGTGGTCTTCTTGTCCTCCATGCTGCCCCTCTGATCCAGAGCAGAAAAATATATTTATACCAGACAAATTAAGTATAAAATAGTTTATAGCTTCAGGTAAATGACACTTCTTTTTTTCTTTAAACACTACAACAACCAGCTCATAGCTCCTTGAAATGTGATATTTAAAGCAGTTTTAGTTCTGTGCATTAAGAGAAAAGTTTTTTGTCCAGTCTAGTAAAACTGAGGTGCAGTGTAACCCCACTAGAGTGTGCTGTAGTCCACAATCTGATCATTGAGTCCAATTTTACAAATCATTCTCAGTTACAAAGTCTTCATGCTGTACTGTCGATGTAAACCTATTTTTGTTATTGTTCATTTTTCAGTGTGTGAAAAAATGAGCTTGCTGTCTCGTGAACATAGCTCATTTCCTTTTTATATAAAACTTTTTGTAAGTTGTCTGCATCTGTTTTGTCTTTAACTGACAGAAATACATTTGACACGACTTTAAATTATAACTTCCAACTATCACTCATACAATATTTGTACTGAGAAAAATGAACTGATGACAAAACTGTAGGCAGGAGCACTAAAAGCAAATTAAATACTGGACTAAAATATAAGAGGTACAAAAAATACATTCTCAACATGTTATCATCACAAGACAAACTGCTATATTTTGATTCCTTTTTGATCAACAAGACACATTTTGTTGCTGTTTTTCGAGCTTTTGGTTGGATCACAATCTTTGTTCAGTTGTCAAAAAATTGCTAACTCTTAAATGTTCATTTCACTTAAGGACTTTGTGTCCATTAGCCTAAATGTTGATGATGAAAGTTCACTTTTGACCTTGGAAACAGAAGCAAGCAAAGCGCTATCACCACAATATGAGATGAACTTTTCACAGCACTCAATCCTTTTATTTACGTACAATACAGAACAATTGATTTGGGCCAGAAATATCAGCACACCATGAAGTCACTCCAAATAATCAAATCTCTTATTACATCCACTTTTATATTTTCGCAGCTATATATTTACCTTAAACTATCATCTACCATCTACCACCATCTACCAGAAACAGCAGATAAATAGATTTTGAGAAAAAGATCTGCTTTACAAAAATAGATTGTCAAACAGAGATAGTTTGGATATTTTACATAGCAACAGTAAATGCACTATTACCTATCTGTCAAAAATAAAAGCTCTAAGATTACATTGAAACTAAAAAATACATTAAATATACAAAATGTCATCCCTTCATCTGAGACCTCCGAGGACATGAAAACCACCTCTTCATTTTGTTAGCTCTGTTTACATCATTTCCACATCCTCAATTGTTATATTCGCTGTCTCAGCAGGGACCTCCTCTCCTTGACTAGACTCATTTGTGGTGCTTTCATCTCCATCATTGTCTCTGTCCTCCTTAGCTGTAGTCTCAACTTTTACTTCAGCAGAGCAGCATTGCTCTCCCTCAGCTGTCTGAAACTCCCCTTCATTCCCTGTCTTACTTTCAGTTCCGGCATCATGTGCCGTTTCTTCCACCTCGTCCTCATCTGCTACAATAACGGTGTCCCCAGAGCTGTGGCTGCTGGTGCTGCTGCAGGACAGTGTGTCCTCTTCAGCATGTCCACTTGGCTCTTCATGACACAGATCCTGCTGTATTTGGCCAACCTCTACATCCTCAACACTTCCTTCAGCTGAAACCTCCTGTTGCCCTGCTCCATCAGGGACAATCCTCTCAGAATTCATGCCCACTACCACATCTGGGCAACCCAAGTCCTCCCCTACACTCTCTGGATCCCACATCTCACTCACTTCCTCCTCCTCATTCTCAGAGTCAGGTGCTGTATGTTTCCTAATGCGATTTACCGCATCCCACAGGGACTTGGGGTACTGGGGCTCTTCATTGAGGGGTGAGTCGGGGTCAATTCTTCCACTTCCCTCTTGGAGAGGAGGAGTCGAAGAGCTGGAGGGCAGGACTGGGGGTGAATCAGTGCAGGAAGAAGATGAGAACTGAAGGGATTCACAAGAGTCCACATGAAGAGGAGGAGGGACAGCTTCTGAGATGCCAGCAGCAGGAGCAGAATCAGGATTTAAAACCGAGGGACAGACTTTTCCAAAAAGAGAAACAAACTCTGCGTCTGGCTCATTTGATTCGTGTGGTGGAGAAGGAAGCTCAGAGGGTGAGATCACATCGAAAGGTGATTGAGACACCTCACAGACTAAAGGCAAGAAAGAAGAAGAGTCAGAGGGTTCAGTCTGTGGTTCAATGTCCTGCAAAAGTTCTGTCTCTATTTGAGTTTGAGAGTCTGTAGCATTTTCTATGGATGGTGTCTGTTCCACAAGACCTGTAGGACCCGCATCAGCTTCTGTTTGTGATTGCTCCTCAGTCACAGAACTTTCTTTTAGACAAATATCCTCTTCTTGGCCATTATCAGACTGTTGCTGCAAAATAGTGACCTCTGTTTGAGTTTGAATGTCAGTCACATTTTCTTGACATGTAGGATCCTCACTGACTTCTTTTAGTAGCTGCTCTTCAGTCATATAACTCTTTATTACACAAGCGACATCCTCTGCCTGGACACATTCAAGTTGTTGCTGCAAAATGTCGACCTCTATGGCATTCTCCTGGAGTATCTTAAGGGTCTGTTCCGTAATATGATCTGTAGGATCCTTATCGACTTCTTTGGTTTGCTGCTCATCAGTGACATTGTTCTCTTTCACACAAGCATCATCATCATCTGGTTGGCCACTTTCATATTGTTGCTCTGACAGCAGCTCCTCTGTCATGTCTTTGGCAAGTTCCTCAACGAGATCACTGATCTCATTGTCGATTGGCTGTGATGTTTTAACTTCTTCATCCTGGTCCTCAATGTCAGACACTGTTTCTGCAGTTTGATCAATTAAACCAAGAGGAGAAGGACTTGGGGAATCATCTGTAATTAAAGTGGAGTCAGTAAATTCAAGGGGAGGAGGTGATGGAGTGTGAGGCAGAGATGAGGTTTCAGGGTGAGGAGCTAGGTTTTCTGTGCAACTGAGGGCAATCAACTCAGGATCAAGGCTTTCCTCTATGTTTGATTCTGGGATTTGCATAAGAGGTGTAAGATCGGAGGATGACAGCATGAGAGAAAGAGCAGGGTTTGGTTCTTCACAGTCTGGGTCAGGTAAAAGCAAAGAAGGATTTGAGAGGTTGGTGGTTGGACTGTGACACTGAGAGGAATGGTGAGAGGATATATTATTTTCTTCCTGCTCAGTTGTCCACTCTTCACTTGCAAGGTTAAGCTGAGGATCCTCAGTTGTTTCAATTTCAAGGGAAGGTTTGACGTCAATTTGGAGTTGGGACTCGGTGTAATGCTCTTCAGACACCCGATCCTGAAATCCTGCAAAATCCCCACTGCCTCCATCTGCTGCCTGATCTCTGGCATCATCATTCTCTTGCAAACACTCATCAGTTTGGCCAGCCTCAAACTGATTCTGTGTCTCTCCCTCTTCTCTTGTGTCCTCTGGGATCTGTTCATCTGCATCATCAATGTCGTTATCTTTAATTTGAGACAGTTCAACCTCCTGGTCCTCCACACATGAGTCAGTAAGTGATGTTGCATCTTCAGGTTGTTGCTTAGTAACGCAGTCATGTAGAGGGATTCCTAGGATCCTTTCAGCACGCTGCTCCAATGTTTCCCTTTCAGAAACTGGAGAAGAGGAGATGCAAAGGGAGGAGATTTCACTTTCTTCCTCGGGTGCCTTTTCCTCGGTAAGATCTGAGTCTAGTTCAGTCTCTGGCATTTCTTCCACATGGAAGGGGTTTGCTTCTGCGTTATGGTCAGTTGCCACATCCTGATTAATCTGACTGTTCGATTGGACAAATTCTGGAGAGTCAGTCGACTGAATATCAAGTGGACTGTGTTCAGTGTGTAAATAGTGAACATGCTCTTTCTTGGGTGATGGAATCAGCTCCATTTTAACAACAACACAGGTTGTGTCAATAACCAGTAGACCCTTACTGTCCTCAGATTCTGTGTCTGTCTTGATGTCCAGTCTCCTAACTTCAACATCAATCGGATGAACTTTGCCAGGGTCCAGAACATCTGATTCTCCTTCCTTGCTGTTTTCCTTCAAACATGTGGCTGAACTCTCAGCTTCAACCCTGCTTGTGATACTAGGCTCCCTCCACAAAGGATATTTGACTGACACAGGCTGCACCGACTGAGCAACTTGTCTCCTAAATGTAGAATCAGCATCATTTGTATTTGCTTTTTCTGGGGAAACAACATCTGCTTTGTTTGATAGATTATCCTCAAGCATCTCACTTTCTACACAAGTTGGTGTCTCCTCCTGTTTGGCTTTGACGTTTCTAGCATCAGCAGTGTTTGACTGGTCTGTGAGTGGTGGCGCTCGGAAGTCTACCTCATCTGCAAGTTTGTGTGTTTGATTAATGCCACTACTGTCTTTTAGACCTTGAGAAACGCCTCCCAATTCTTTGTTTTGAATGTTTGTTTGCGACATACAAATTGGCAAGGATGGACTTTCTGTGGTGCCTGCTATTCGAGACACCAAGCAGAATATGGTCATCCCACCTGCCTTTTTGTTTAATCTGAACTTCCTTCCTTCAATCACTTTTGAGAGTGGTTCCTCATTTATCTTTTTATTCTCAACTGCTTGTAACACTTGTGGCTGTTGCAGAGACAGCGTACCCTCATGCTGTATATGTGTGTCCTGGATACTCAAAGGACTGCTTGCCAATAAAGCATCTGTTTCCTGTCGTCGCTGCTTTAGTCCTTCAAGCTCTGTGAAGATTTTTTGATTCACATCTGGCTTTGTAAACTCCTCTTTCTCTTCTTTTCTGTGATCCTTTAGAGCTACAGAGGCATCCTGCTTTCTGAGTGCGGGCTGTGACCAGTGGGCTTGTCTCTTACCTTCTTGCTCCCAACTGGTGTCACAGTGTTGCAGTATGGGTGAACCTTTATGTGGGCTGTCATAGGGAGGAGGAGCAATATAGCCAGGAGGTTGGCTGAACACCCTCCGCTGGTAGCCGGTCTTTTCTTTTATGTCCAGCATGTGACTTGTGTCAGTGGCAGGAGTTTGTGATGGATAATAGGTTGGAGCTTGCTGTCTGCCCCCTCTATCCCACAGTCCTGACTCTCTGATGCTTGCAGATTGTCTGACTTGTTGCAGCGCTGCCACTCGAGGATCTGTTCCACTCCTGCTGTCCTTCTCTGGAGCCCTGCTGCTCTCCAACAGTCCCTGAGAGGCACCCCTCAGCTCTGCCTCTATACGTCTCCTCCTTGGAAGGGAATGGCTGTATCGAGCTGCCCAAGCCTCAAGCTCTCTATAGCTGCTGTCGCTCCTCTTAGCAGAAACTTCCCTGTTGTAGCGGACAGGACCACATGGCTCCCACCTCCTCTGCCATCCCTCCCTCAGAAGTCCTCGCTCATATTCCCTCGCTGCTCGCTGAGCTGCTGTCCACTCTCTGTCTCTGGCTTCATGCAGCTGATAGTCTCCCAGGTCCTGATGCTGCTGAGCGTGACGGTCCAGAATAAAAGGGAAGTGAGAAGAAGACGGGGTGGTCAGCTCATTGTCCGTCCAGTTAGTGTACTCCTGCGGAGCCCCTCCTGTTCTCGATCCTGGTACAGTCCAGTAACTGGACTCCCTGCCTTGATCCTGCTGCTCACCGTAGTACAGTGGATAATGGGGAACCTGATGTCTGTCATGGTAGCTGTGGGAGAAATGGTGGAAAATGTTAGTAAATTCAGATAATTTCAGCAAAAACAATCTTTCACATCACTTTTAATTTCTTGACGTGTGTTTTAGAGAGATTTCCCATGACAGGTGGCACCTTTTATCATCACTTAACAGCAATCTATACATATCACGACTACTGTGCAGTCAGTGTTAAAGTTAGTCAAGTTAAGTACAAATCAAGTTTAAAGTTTGTCAAACAGAAAAATGGCAACAAACTATATCACCCAACGATTACACTGATTGAAATAGCAATCATAGCACTCACTTATGTGAACAATTTCTCCCAGGGACAGTACCAAATTTGGAGTATAGAGGCGTCTGTCCCTGATTCTCGGGCCAGAACTCCATGGTTTGGTCTAATACACAGATCTGAAATATGGAAAAAAGGATCATATATATTTAACTATTTCAAAATGTCCTCAAAATGGCTAAAATCTGAAGATTTAAAAACATTATTATGAGCATACATGTGATTTCTAAATAGAAAAACTAACATAAAAATAAAGTCTCATCTGCAATGTAGATACTGTTATATGGAGAGGTCAGTTCACACATACGACACGTACCTTTAATTGTTGTTATCAGATTATTGTCCGTGCTGCTCATGAAGTGATATGAGGTCTAATGAAGTCCAAACAGGACAACTTGTTTTAAAAGGACGGTGGTTTTCAGCCCCCCTCCCACTCCACACACACACAAACACACGCACACACTCCCCTGTCACTGTAGCCCATCCTCCTCTCATCCAGCCAACATGCCCTGTTCAAATACCACTGAGGAATTTTTTAATCAGGTTTTTAGATAAAAACAACTCTCATGTGGTTGCCACCGGACTTTTAGGCATACACTTGCTTCAGGTGGAAAAGGCTCTTTGACATCATTGTATTGGGATTAATGGTAATTTTGCTGTCAGGCTGATTATTAGGATTATTAGAATATGAAATTTCACACCGTAATTACAAGTAAGTCACTGCTCACACAGCTGCACGTACTACTTAACAGAAAAACTGATCATTAAGATTATACTTTAAACACTAATATCCTTTTTAAGAGGAAAATGTATGTTTTAACTACTAACTATGTTTTTTTAAGTGGATGGTTTCCTATCAGCTCAAATGGCACTCTGGTCCACACCGCCAAATCCTCAATACACAGTTTTCATAACTTTGCCCAAATAATTGTGAGTGACAACAAAATCAGCGATGTGCACTTTGCATGACACTCGCGTGGGAGGTGTTGGGCATGATCGCGAGCAGACTCTGCATGGTAGATAGGGATCTGTTGTTTTGTCGGCTGAATTGTAGCAGAGGGAGAGACGGGCAGCGGATGGGTTGTCTCCCTTTCTTTGAAACTCCCCAGCGTAACAAACAGGCTTTCCTTCTCTGAACAGAAAGTCTGTACATCAGCAGAGAGCAGGAGAGAGGGGATGAAGTACGGTCAGACAGCAGGCTGCAGGGAGGCAGGCAATCTGTTGATGTTAACAGAATAGTTGGGGATGGGATGAGCTCTGTTTTGGATTTTATATGTCTCAATAAAAACAATATTGTTTTGGGTATGAACAACTTATTCAATGAAAGGGAAATGTCCCCATATTCAGTTAAGTCCTGCTTTATTTTCAGGTGAGAACAAAATCCATGTGGCAAAAGTTTGAGAATTATATTTTGATATATTGGACCCAGCTTTCTAGAGCTGGTGTAAAACTGCACTGAAGACACAGACGCATGACACCAACTACATTAAAGTATGCATTATTACCAAAAGAGGATCAGTTTTCGCATCTTTGGGCGCTTTGATGCTGCCCGTAGATAAAGGTTTTGACCCAGATATAATCACGAGGAAGATGTTTAGTAAGTGACTCCATCACCTTGTGTGGAGGGAGGACTGGTGTTAGTTTGATTTAAACCCACTGAAAAGTACCTTAGCATGAGATAAAATATTTAGCACCAAATGAGCAACAACAACATCCTTTGGCATGATTTATTTAAGTTTAACACTCAAACTCAATTAATCTGCTTCATCAGGATAGTGTGGGTGTGGCTGGATCACACTTGATGGGCAGTGGCCTACAGCAACAAAAGCAAACGATCCCAAAGATGTCATCTGATTTTAATCCAAATATGGCTTTAACCCTGATTGGTGCATGCAGGATCCAACAGAGCCCTGTCTACTTCAAACTATTCAGAGGACCACAGACAAAAACTCATACACACGTCTCATAAAATTAATAAAACTGTTATAACTTAAGCACAAAGTGGAGTATTCATGTAGGACACAGTCACTTATAGTAAACAATTTAATGAGAAAATTGGTTTTCAGCTGTGATCAATGTGACTTGTTTTCAGTGTAATCTGAAGGTAACGCAGCTCAGCTCTCTTTGAAACATGCTCAACATCCTTGCTGGGATCTCTGAGAATGCACAAAGAGGCCGTTGTGTCATCTGTATTGATAAATTAACCCATTAAGATGGTCAAGTGTTTTAATTGAGGGGGCGATCAGTCATGTGGAAAAGAAATGTGAGATGTAATTTTTAGAAGTAGGGCAGAAGTTGCCTGAGATTGTCGTCGTTGCCACTGTGCATGGCATTGACGACATGGAATCAAAACCGAGAAATTAAAAAACCTGGATTTTCCAGTCACGTGATTATAAGCAAACCTGCACCGCAGGCTGAAGCTGTACCGGCGGAGATGATCTCTGTGGGAGTGACAACAAGTCTTGACAAGACATGAGAGGCTGAGAACCAAGTCACTCTTATATTCACATCATTAACATAACCTTAGGCTGATTTCTATAAAACCACAAAGAGAACCTGTACATGTTTTGATGACTGGTTGCAAACTATATAAAAATGTGTGCTCACAACTTGTAATTTAGTGCTGGTGACAGAAAATGAAAAAATATTTAGGCTACCATATTTAATCAGTTCCATTAAAATTCTGATTTTGGATATGTTGTGTGAGGTGATACAGGGTGCCCAAAACCCCAAGAAAAAGACAAGAAAATATGATTATTGTAACAAGTAACAAGTAAATATTAATAGCTATTACAGGTTTTTAAGTGACTGAAAATGGTCAGTATAATAGCCATATAAATATCTAAATAAAAGTACCACTTCATTTGAACAAACCAATGTTCAACTAAGTAAACAAGAAGTAGTTATTTAACAGTGCTCCACTATTTGATCAAAAGACCATGTAAACTCAACTCTGACCTGTACCTGTAAATGTAGCACATACATTTAATGTCTGTAGAATTACAACAGATTGATTAGCTGAACATTTGTCAGTACAAGGAAAACCCACTAGGAGCAAGCTCTCTAATGTGTTTATGAGGGTATATAAATTAATGTAACAAGTTGTGGTTGCTTTATAAGACACAAAATTGCAGCTTAAAGTAAAAAAAAACAAAAAACAAAATCAGTTAAAACTCAGTACTTTTAAGTGATGAATTAGCCACTTGATAGAAGGTTGACATCAACATTAGATTATCTGAAAACAACAAGGAGCTGTTGTCTCTGACAGATGTGCATTTTGCACAGTGATGTTTTTATTGTTTTTAGTTAGTTTGGTTTAAATCTTTTAAAAAGGCACCCAAGAAACCAGAGTCATGACTGGTCCCAGTACAGTAACTAATCCAAATCCCAGCAGGTTGCCCCTGCTGTCACTGGTCTTTCCTCAGGGATGCCCTGTAGATATTAATGTTTTGATTGTCATCACGGAGCACAAGCTCCACATTAAATCTGCTGGGTAGAAATACTTCATAGAAACTTGGAGTCTCATGCTCTTTTCGCATTTTGGAGGAGAGATACACCACTGCTACGTTCATGCACAAATGAGCCAGTGTATCCACTAGCAGTGGGTAAGTCTCTGGGAGGTAAATTATATCTGCACAGAGAACCAGATCCCAGTCAGAGGGAAAGTTCATGTGGTCCTCACCCCAGGACAGAGGGAGGACGTCGGGAGGGGTAGAAGGCCAACCATCTGATGGCATGTTCGCAGAGACGTTGGCCTGAAGTTGTGGGAGAGCCAAAGGAAGATCTGTGAGGGTCACGTCTGCACCTGGAAAATTGGATTCAAATGTGCTGTCAATAAAACTCTCAAGATGCTTTACACACTGCAGTTATATCTTATTTATGGATGATGCACCACATAGGACACATTCAGGTGCTGTCAATACATACAGAAAATACTCAGGATGTTTGACAACGCTGAATGAGTGAAGCTGACACTGAGCTGCTGTGGCAGCTGCAGCATGTGTGCAGTGCCTCTGGTGGGAGCACCTTTGAGTTACATATCGGTAGACTGAAGTGTGGTTGGACATGAGGTTATTAGGAGTTACTGAAGGGACTCTCCAATGGATAAGTAGAGAGCCTGGTACACGAAAATTACTTTCTACATAAGCAACCAGCCAGGAGAGTTTCAGGAGCGTATAATGCCACTCATAGTCATTAAAGTGAATGTATTCCTCCGCAGTGCAGACAATGACAGGAACAACATACCGAGGCGTGCTGCCAAGATACCAACCACACCAGTCCCTGCTCCCAGCTCTATGATGCGCTTCCCTCTCAACTCCAGCGACTGCTCCTCCAAGTAACGACACAAGTTTAACGCCTGTGAACACACACCCTTATCGTTAGACACACTGATTTAGCAGGTATATTTTCATGACTCCAACATAAACCAAACAGGCTCTTACAGCTTCCCACACCGGGGCAGCCACGCCGAGGTTGGCACCGAACACCTGTCGTATCCTTAGCTCCTGGCCGACTAAAGTGTACACGCTATCTTGAGAAAATGTGTCCGCAAACAGACAGTCGTCAACAGGGAACGGGTCGTCTTCGTGTCCTTCACAAGTCATGGTTAGGACTGTAAATAAAAGCGGTTCACTTGGTATCAAGTCCGCAAACGAGCACGAGCACCAACACCAGCCAGACAGTGAAGTAGCATTAGCTAAGGTAGCTTGTCTCAATCAGCTAAAAGTAGCCATAAGTTAAATGAGAAATGTCAAAAGCTACTGCGAGGTCGTCACGAAATTTGTAGAGATTGAGAAGCTATTTTCGCCGCTGTTATTAGGCGGTTAGCTCTTACGCTATTTCTGTATCTGTAAGCGAAACTCTTTGCTTCGAGTTAGCTAGCTAACGTTAGCCAACAACATTGACAGCTGAGTTAGCTGGGGTTGTTTCGACTTTCAGTATTTGGCCCGAGAAAGAAATGAAGCTGTGAATTATATTGCCCATGTATTTTATTAGAATGTATTAACGTTACTTCTTTAATGACAGAGACTGGGTGTTGTTGACTTAGGCTTCTCTATCTCAATTAAGGTTTGTACTAGGCTTTTAATTTGAAATGTCACAAGAACACACTTGACTTCCGGGTTAGGGGACCTATCAAATAACAGTAATGATCTCCTAAAGGAGGAGCAGTGTAGTCTTAAGTAACCTACAATATTTTGATATGTAGAGTAATGTAATCCTGTAATTACATTAATACTTAAACTTCGTACATCCCATGTCGCTGATGTCGTTTGAGGGCAAAAACTACAAACAACCTACCATTAACCGTGGGATTTGGGTATTATACTACCATGACGTCAGGTGCTTCCTACCCTCATAACAGTGACAATCACAGCAGCAGTTACCCCCCTCAAATTTTGCATTGCAAAACAAACAAGATGTTCACTTAAATATTCATAGACAGAGTTTTAAGTGAGACAAGTGTCTGCTTTCAAAAATAACGCATGATCTCATGTATAGTAACTTATGAGTAGACCTGCAGCTACCTTTAATTTTCTTTATCAGTCTGCTAATTGTTCTCTTGATGAATCATTTGGTGAATAAAACATTGAAACTGTATAAATGTCAGGTCCTCAAATTGCTTATTTTGTCCTGACCAACAGTTGAAAACCGAAGCATATCTAATTTACATGTTTGGCATTGTTGCTTAAAAAGTGGTTTACATTATTATTCAGTTATCAAAATAGTTGGTATAATTTATAATCAGTTGTTTGGACACTACCTATGCATCAGTGCTGCAATTCAAAACACACTGCACACCATCATGTTCCAGGTTTATTAAAAAAAAGTTGCTGTCTCCTCACCGTTTTGTCTGGGAAACAAAACTTAAGTAGAGTACCACTAAGACAACCATTTTTCACACATAACTTCACATCAATGACAAAGATGATTCGACAGATGTATAAAGTGTAGAGCTGAGTACAGATATGTTAAATAAAGCTCTTCATCATTTCCGCTTGTCAGTCTTTATAGAACACAAGAACACGTAAAGAAATTCCAACACAGCCAACTAAAATTTAATGTGTCCAATCTGACAAGAAAAAAATAAATCATAATGCTGTCTTCATATGTCTGCTTGTGTTGGACTACATCACAGTTTTCTCAGTGGAGTGGACAATAACTGTTGGGTTTAGACTACAGATACACTTTACTCGGTATACAGTGATTCTGCTTGAGACAGAACACCTCTGAAACTCTTGATTATTTGAAGTTATTACAAAATAAATATTTTTTTCATCATACAGATGACAGTAGTATTACATCCATAACACAACCACCCTCCCCCTCGCAAGTTCTTCTTTTCCTAGGGTGGTAAAGGCACGACCTGCTCTACTCTGTCTTAGATTTGCTAACACTGACGCTGTTATCCCAGCCCATCTCACTCCACATTCCTAAACCCAAGCAATCCAGCCCACGAGGGCAACGAGTACTAGCCAGTCAGAGGGAGAGTAGGGTGGGTCATGCCTATACCACCCTAGGAATAAAAGTTGGCCTTCCCCTCAGGCCTCAGTATGTGCAAACTGCAAGAGTTTAAAAAAGGTAGCACTTTAAGCAAGGACCATTGAAAACATAAACAGTTAATTGTTTTAAAATGAGCACTTCATGAAAAGTGCAGCAGGTGTGACACAGGGATGACTTCAAAATTACAGGATGAGTTGGAGGAAGCTCACGTCTGACTACGTCTTCCTCAGGCCAACAGGTCTCAGTATTCTTGTTAAATTTGGGGGTGAAGGGATTAAAAATACAAAACAAAACAGGTGGTCCTTAAACCAAAGGAATATTTTTGGTACTGAATGACTAGTCTAATCATATCTGGTACTGTCCTTATACAATTTTCTTTTTTCATCATTCAAGGTAAAATACTGAGCTGGGACGTAAATATAATGTTGGAATGAAAATAAATTTGCAGTGAAATGGGATCTAATGATTGTTTCTCTTTTACAAACATTCGTTCTTGTCACATCTTGCACACAGAAACTAAATGTTTGCTATGAAACTGGACAGAAATGATGCATTGTCACAACAAACATCACAATTCGTGCTTTGAGTTGAAGAAGAGAACACTCTGCTTCAGCATTTAAACATTAGTAGTCCATTTTTATACACCACAAAGTGTTCTCATTTGTTAAGACACATATCGTATGTCAACGTAGTCGGATTTGACAAACCTCCGTCACACAGTCTTGGCAAAGGGTACGAGTGACTTGATAGAATAGCCACGACTCAAACAGATTGTTGATTGTTTCTTTCATTAAAATCAACCACAAAATATCTCCAGACAGCCCAAAGTGCACCTGCAAAGGGACGAGGAATTCTCCTTAAAGTTTCCTGGCGGGTATGAAAGGCAGTCAGCTTTGTTTTGAGTAGAACCGAGACCAAGTCCAAGTCCACACAGATGCACAACAAACACCCACACAGAAAACAAAAAGCCAGAGGAATGCATAATTAAAACTTTGTTCCAAAAAGAATAATAATTAGAACCATGACTATCACAAAGAGGATCAAAATGACCAGCATCTTTCTGTTTTTCTTCTGATACTGTTCCGCCTGCACAGAAAATAAACAAATGTTAAACACTGTATTTCACTTGATTTTAATTTAATTAATCAAGACCAACAATCTGTCTTATCATCATGCAAGAAACTTAGTTTGTGGATCCTGTTTGAAATAGATATGGTAGATTATATCATAATTGTGTCTTTGCTAATAGTTTCCTTTTTGTTTTCTTTGCGGTTCTTGACATTCATCATTAGTTTCAAAGCTACAGTATTAATTATCAAACAAAATTACCAATTAGGAAATAAATGTAAAATTAACAGCAATCTGAACAGTAAATTTGTAATTAAAAATAAAAGGTCACCTGACCAAAAAAGTCACAAGTTTATTAAGACGTGAGTATTTTGCTTTTACCTTTTGTAACTGTTTCAGACCATCTTCTGTTTTCACACAAGATTGCTCCACATTGAAGTCAATTCTGTCAAGAACGGTGCCCTGCAGGGAAAAGGGAATTTTGTTATCAGAGGAAAATGATTTTAGTTGTTGATTCTTTACTTTAAACAAAGGCAGTGTTATTAACAGTTTGGTGTGGTACTTACACTGATGGAAACAATTCTCATTCAAGCTCTCTTCATACAAGTATGAAATATAAAATGCATGTCACAATGCTTTACATTAGCTGGGTTTCCATCCAAATGTATCGCAAATTTTAAGCGAATTTTGTGAAAATGCGCAAAAGAAAATGCAAATTTATGCACGTTTCCATTCATTATTGTTTTGTGAGTATTGGGAGTCAACAGGTCGAGCAGAAGGTGGCGCTTCTCATGAAAAATAAAAATGCAAAACAACACCCGTAGAAGAAGAGGGCGCCGTGAGATGACGTAGCATCTCATGTCCATAAATGATGTAAACAATTACAGGCACATCCACGACTACGACGAGATGGAGAGATTCCCTGGGAACTTCTTTGGCTATTGCAAGAGCTCTCATCACACTCATATCAGCGCTGTCAGCGTAGCCTACATAATGCCGTGATGTCTGTGTTGGTACACCAGGCAGCGCACATGATGCAGCGGTATTCAACACATCCAGTCTATTCAGGCAAGTTGTGAAATACACTCACCTGACACTGGAGTAATTACCTCTCTCTAAGTTCACACAGATGTGTGAGTGAAGTAGAAGTAGGATTCAGTAGCCTACGCCATGGTTTATTCGCTAAATCTGTTTCTATTGCCAAAAGTCGCATTTTCCTAATATCGATACACTGACTTTTCCACCCCCTCCAAGCCTAAAAACTTTTTTGCGATATTTCGGCCTTTTTTTGAATTTCTGGCGTTTCCATTCAAGTTTTTTTTCGCAATTGTTGAAAATGCGAATAAAAATAGGTCGATGGAAACCCGACTATTTTTGGAAGTCATTAAAACAACTCACTGATAACCCCAGACATGTACATGGAGGACAGGAATGTTTTTCTTTGGTACCTGTGTCACTGGACTTGTGCCAGGGGGTAGACTAGCAACTCCTGTGTTCTGTGAGGTAAAATTACTGGGGTCTAGTGGCCTTGAAGAGAGCATAGATAACGGTTCCAGTTCCCCGTCATAAAGGGCCAATATCAAGGTAGAGTGGTGAAAATATTCTACAGATGGCATATACTTGAACTGAAATTGATTTTTTTGGGTGGCTTAATATAATAATATGTTTTCTCACAACCCTGTCCACATGGGTACATTGCTTAGCTTACATAATGGTACTATTATTTGTTTCTCCAAACTGGGTGCATACTGACAGCCACTTGCTGTAGGTAATACACTTGAGAATGGGTGAGTACCTCATACAACCCCACTTCAACAGATGCTAACTATCCCTCTAAGTCTCCTAATTAATTATGTGTAAGCTTGTCAGGGCTGCTTCAAATACCTGTTCCACCACCATTCCAGCCAAGTCCCGGAATATCTCATTCAGGTCTGAGATGGACTGCACTATCTGTCGGATCTCCCTCTCTCGTTCTTCCACCATAATTGTGTTCTGTTCCACCAGCATCAGCTGGTCATCTGTGAACCCCTGAAACAAACAAAAATAAAAAATTAAGTGATTTTATAGTACAATCATTTCTCCAAATGCAACAACACCTGCAGCAACAGCCTCAGCAGACACAATTCGGACCCAGTTCTTTTTATTTTACATCAAAATTGAAAAGAAAAACAAGCAGTTATGCTGCAATTATTTCGTTTGTGATAGTAGATATACAATTTGTTATGTTTTATTCTATAAAACATATACTTGTTTATTCAATTTACTGTCGTTTAGTGGGATTAATAAAAACTGACAAAACTGATGTGAAAAATATGATATGTACAGATGCTAAATTTAAATTTGCATAATACAGTGGAACCTGAATCAATAAATGAGTGTGCATGTTTGTTCATCTTATCTGTCCTAATACTAACAATATGAAGTATCTCCTCTGTTACTGTACTGTATCCAGGACACCTAAGCCAAAGAAAATGGTAGTGGAACTGTCAATGGTGTTTTTTAAATAACTTAAAAGGGAAACAGATTTTTAACCAGCTCTGCATCATCGGACTGTTGGGAAATGTGAGCCGATGAAGGGCATTTGGTTAACCCCCATGCCATGAGCACCCAGAACTCCCCGCCCATCCACTGAGTCCAGTATGGTATCCATTGCGGGATTTCCAGGCACTTACGACATGGCTGTAAGCCAAGCCACTGTTCATCTGCACACACTGCAATGATACAGAGCTGGTTGAAAACAGGCAAAGTTTCCCTTTAACAAATTTTACAAAGCTGGTCACCTTGTCATATACAGCTAAATCTTCATCCTCTTCCATTAGGGGTCCAGAGTCAAAAAAGTGCTTTGATCTCTCCTCGCGATTCTTCATCCCTGGAATATAAACCAATGATGTGATGCTTGGATGAGATGGAAAACAAACACTACGTATAAGAAAGAAATGATGTATCCTTGGTAATGGTGCCCAAGTGTGAGAGGCGGAAACAATGAGGAATGAAAATTCAGGAAGACCAATTCCAGCTTTAATGCAGTTCTTACGTTTTAGGTAGCCGGACTGTGTGTGCCTGAAATTGGTGGACAGCTCCTGCAGGCTCTGTGCCAGGGACGAGACCACGTTTCTCAATAGCCTCTCCTCCTGCTCGGTGCAGTGGCCACAACGAGACTGCAGACCCGTTACAGCTCGCTGGCATCGATGAAACATCTACAAATAACACAAAATGAGTGGGGAAAGCAGAGAGGAATCTCTTTTCAAATGATTCAACCTGTAATAAAGTCAGAGGTGTTCATATCAACACCCTAAAACAAAATGAAGATAGACAATCAATACTATATAATACTCTTATGACTCTGTGCTCAAGTAGAAACATACTAGAAATAGACAGTGTTACTAATAGAAAAAAAAAGGTTACAGCATTTACTTGTTATCTCTGTTTCTACACTGGTAAATGACTGTACCTGTGTGATCTCTTGAGTAGTGATTTCTATGGCGTGCTCCTCCTCACTACTGTCATCAAGTGTGGGCCGATTCATATGCTTGTCATGAAGTAAGGCCAGATCCTTCATCTTCTGCCGAATACGTGTGAGTTCATACTGGATCTGAAAGGTATGGTTAAAAGCCACGAGGCGTTACTTTGTACACAAATTATAGGGCTCATACGGAAGATTTCACCAGTTTAGGATCTCAGGATTGGGTCAGCCTTTTACATACAGGTCTCTACATTTTTGTTACAATACAAAAGTGTTTGCCTCACCTCATCAACCCCCTCTATCCATTTGGGGGGAAGTTTCTTGGTGACTCCAATGGCTGCTTCAGGATCCAGACTAATTCCTGACACCAGGGCCATTCGATCATCAGCCAACTTAAAAACACACACAAAAAAATACATTATTCTAGTACAACATTATATATAATAATTCAACATGCTTATGTGTGTTGCATTTAATGCAGCTTTGGTAATTCTACCATGAAGGAAACAACAATACCTCATCAAGCTCCTAATGTGATTGGCAGATAGCAGATTGGTCCCATCCAATAGAGAACAAGGAAAAGGAGAGAAAGACAGAAGTAACAGAAAGTGAGCCCCGAAAAAAAATCAGCAGTGAATACTAAAAAAAGTTTCAGCATCCACTCGCCTGAAGGACTAATTAATATGAAATGCGAATAATAATTACTGTACAGCAGACGAACAAAAGGTCTGGCTGCTGAGATGAAATCTGATCATTTGTCCTGAGTTTTTGTGTGTATATTCAAAAGTGTAAAACTAGAGTGTGAATGCAAAAAATAAATCATACTTATCTGTACACTACCTGCACAATAATTCCACTTTAAACAAATCATTAAATGTAGGAAACAGTGAGAATAAAGAGAGAGAAAAGCCTCAAGATAAACTAAAAAGGCTGAGTTATACACAAAGGACATTTTAAAGAGCAGAAAGTTAATATGTAACAGAAAATTCAAAAGTCACTGTGCCTTGTTTTGGATAATTATGTCTCAAATGTGTCTATCTTGTTTGAACTGACAAAGGCCCTGCTGCCTTCTGGCAAAGTCAGTTATTTTAAAACCCAAGTGCGCAGCAGCCTCAGTGAGCTGAATGTGCATCTTCTAAAGGCAAACAAAGGAGCTTTAGTTGAGTCATTGCCTTCTACTCAGTGCAAATATATTTCAGCCTGAGGACACATATGCACATCATAACTGCACTTAGGGCAGGGTGATGTGGATAAAATCAAATATCACAACATTTTTGGCCAAATACCTCGATATTGGTTGACTTTTGGAGCTTTCACAAAATATTTACACAATGAGATATTTGACTAGCATCAGTAATGTGGCTATGATGAGTGGGTAAAGGCAAATAATTGAACAGCTAGAACAGTCTGGTAAGTTCAGAAAATTACATCACTTTAATGCAACCTTCAAAACCAGGTACCACATCACTTACCAAATCAAGATATCCGTAATTTATGACAATATTTAGTCTGATATTACAATATTGATATTATAGATATACTGCTTGGCCCTAATTGCATCACTGTAAAATGACATTTAAGTACTGACTGCTGAACAAGTAACTTCAAGGAGGAAAAACACCTACATACATATTTTACTACATATTTTGCTACATATTTTTTCAGCTTTCACTTTGTAGCTCGACTGTTGTTGATGTAATTACTTTTCAACTCAGACAGAGTTTTACCACCAATTAATGTACCAACATCATCTTTTTGACATTGGTGGACAGAGCAGAGACATTTAAATCAACACAGTTTTAAACATATATGGATGAAGTCTGATACAAGGACAATGAGACTAAACATACACTTAACATATACCATGCAAGACAAGTGAGATATAAGACGATGAATATAACTGTTAATACAATATTCTTGGAACTAGGCTTGGGCAGTATCTATTTTTCATACCTTTGTGACATTTCACTGAGGTATATGACTGTATTTCTGTATGTGTGCATCATGTATGTCATTGTCTAGCCTACAGTGCTGTGCATGTGTTTAATATGCAATAAACCTCTGAGTCTTGCTGGATTGAAACACTTATGGCCCATAAAACAATGAACAGATAAGAAGTAAGTGCTCTTCTCAAATTCTTGCTAGAAGATCTGATTACACTCGCTGTTGTGTCGGAAACAGACAGTATGTGCGACTGCACTCAGCTTCCTCCGTGTTGGCTGGCTTACCTTTATTATTGGGACTAAACCTAAATCACTCTTTAACAGGGGCAGAGACATTTTTCTTTTTTACTAGTCCTGTAACGTTATCACTCAACTCGCAGTAGCCATCTTTCTCATAACAGCTGCCTGTTCCAACTGTACAGACTGACATCAGGTGGTGTGTCCTTCGCACTACTACTGCATCACCTCCATACAGCATCTCAGCATCACTTTAATAGAAAGAGGAGTGTCTGTATATTTGATACTATTGAAAATCATACCTTCCAGATTTCTAAGTACCTTGATACTGCCCAAGCCTACTTGGTACAGTATAATAAGTGTCAGCAAGGCGCTGAAGGAGGTTTTGTTTAAGAGTGCAAGTAGATCTTGTTAAGAAGATAACAGGGTCAAAATTATAGCTCTCTTCCAGGATGTGTAGAGATCTTTCACTATTCTTTAACACACTTTTTAATAGAATTTACTCCTTAGAAAGCTACTGTTAAGGGAAAAACACTAAAGCTATTTTCCATTAAAGAATATGTGGAAAGATGATGTAAACAGATTTAAAAAGAAAAAAAAAAAACAGGATCCCATGGGTTTACAGACAATCCATGAGCCAGGAAGGTCTAGCTATCCACAATCAAATTCCTGGGCTTGTCCGTGATCACTATCACTTACTGATTGCGCCCTTGTAAACATGCAGGTGAATGACTGAGCAACAAACGGGTGACGTTTTTTGCTCTCGGTGGAGACTGTGTATGAGCAATTCATCTGCTGAACACAGGGCATGAATCATTTTTCACAAAATGTTTTCAGCTCTGGAGCACCAGGCCACAGCATCACTATTGGTTCCCTAGCCTACTTGCTGAGGTAAACCCCAACACACTACGCTGTGTCATACACAGTGATGCACGATCAGGCAGTGTCCATCCAGGAGCCGCAACCATTTAAAAGGTCTCCACTCTGTAGGTTTGGCTGTGCTGATTTATTTGTGTCATTGAAAGCCTCTCCAAGCCATCAGGAACAGCAGGGAAAATACAGTATGAGAGGAAAGAAATGATGAGCAGCATATTTTAGGAAATGCATCTTCAGCTAATGGGATATCAGTACATCATCATTGCCTCTGGGTGCCCAGGCTGCTGGCAGAAATAAATCTACCTCAGCGAGCAGATGACTGGTTAAAATGTTCACAATGGAGTGTGACTGGTCGCACGCACCCTGCACCTGCCTGCTGTGCTGTGTATCCTGCACCTGGCCTCCTCTACTGGAGACGTATGGTGAACTCCAGTGTAAACACAGGAGAGCTGTAAACTGTGCTTAAGCATCTAAAATGTGCCAGGGAACAGGAGGAAACAGTGGACTACTTTGTGCTGTGTAGTAATAGAAACAGCAATACATTTTAACTGACAGTGCACAGGTAGATGATGACGGGGGTTTTGTATGGGGGTGATGCAGTCATCCCATCAGCTGGACCTGTATCAACCCTGACACTGACCTAGTCATGCAGACTGGATATCTGGCCAGATGTGACTGATAACTATAATACAGTTTATTTATCAATGCCACTAAAAGTCGTCTTCATCATGTCTCCACTGGAGATAAACCAAATGATTATCAGCATTTTTGAATGATAAGCTGCAGTCTTCAGGAATCTTATACAGCAAATCCCTTTGCCTTAGTTTGTGTCACACATTTAATAGTACAGGAAAACACCAGCTAAATTCTAGTGGAACAATCAGTTACAGGTTACAGGTACAATTTAATCTAGACTAGATCAAATTACAATGTAGGAGCCACTGCACACCATTTACTAGTGAAAAGCACTATGTGGACACTAGAAACATGCTTTAACTTTAACAAAACCCCACACATTTTATTCAACAAACGTATATTTTATCTCAGAAGTGAAGAAATGCTAACTAATAGTTAGCTAATTATCTCAATTGTTTACATTTACTTTAGATATTAAGCTAATACGAGCTGGATAATGTACCTGCACGCCCCTCTTCATCCTCCTCCATCACCCCACTGAGTCACATTAAACAATCAGTCCTGAGGTGAAACACTACCGGCGTAGAAATACTCCTCAGTAATGTCTAGCAGCTACTTACACACAACTGTATCTAGCTACCACAGTTCAGTGACTGGCTATATGCAAACACACACAGTAAAATGTCAAAACGATGCAGACCACTCACCGCAGCATTGCTACGTGTACTCAGACGGGGGTCGTATGTACTCACTTGCTCAGCCAATATCTGCCGGTTTTGGATTGCATTGTTCCGCATTAACAAGAAGGCATCGGTCAGACGCCTAGTGGCCATGACTGCCTTGTTTGATATCTAAAATTAACACTGGACAAAATGCGGATCAGGCGACGTTTTATTAAATCAGGTCCACTGCAGCTGACCCGCAGCTAACACACCGCTAGCTTTAGCTTTAGCTTTGCCTGCGATGAAAGATGTGGAAAACTCGCGATACAGCGCCTACTGTGGACAGCAGAAGACCTTAATAATAATTATCTGTCAGGCATCTCTAATACTTATGTTAAAAATCAGAGACATGACCGATAGTTTCTTCTCAAATTTGGGGATTTAACGTTAGATAAGAAACGTTATTCCGCTGTATGCAGCTACGGAAGTGAGGAAACGTAAACACCTGCGTAGAGTGCTTCTTCTTCTACTACTCATATACTGCGGCTTTAAAGTGTGACTGAGGGCCAATACCGCCACCCACTGTCTCGGCGAAGAGACAGCAATACGGTTTGTTAAAGTCAGTGGTGTAGTAGAGGATATACTCAGGTATACGGGGTATTCCCACATCTTTCTGTGGTCATTTATAGACTAGTATATCCACCTATCAGCTAAAAATCCATTGGAATATATAGAAGAGTATAATATATCCATACATCTACCTAGTAGTGTATCCACTTCATCAACTACCGCTACACCACTGGTCAGGGGCATAAATACAGACAGTGTAGGTAGTGAAGTTGCACTGGGGCCCGTGGGGTGGGGTGGGGCCCTTGCGAATGATTCAGATTGCCACCTCAGAACTACTGTGTTCAGAAAAGAGCGCACATTAAATTTAAAATGGTGCCATTTGCTATAGGCTATATGCTCGCAAAAATGCAAACCCACATGTGTTATGATTTTCTTTTCTCTTCTTTTTAATTTCTTTTCTTTTGGTAAAATTGTAGCAATCTACAACAAAATCAATGCTTATTCTACATGAACTAGAAAAACCATTAATAAACTATATACATAAAACTATTCAAATAAATGAATAATTTCTTTGATATTTTGTCATATACAGGTATTCAATGATGATTGTTTGGTAACATGTATGTTGATATTGCCTAATGTCAGGTCTCTCTTTGATCATGTCACAAGACAAGATGATACAGTAGCTAGTTTGGGTGCAAAATCTGTCAAGACTGACAAGCTGAGCACATCTGCAACTCCAGCGAGCAGTCATGCCTTTCAAACATAAAGTTGGAAGTAGAAAGGACAAGAGAGAAACAAGGAGAGGAAAAGTAACTAAGCTCCCTGAATTAGATTCATTTGGCTTTTTTTTTGTTTACAAACAACTGCCAGCAGTGTGTGTGTGTGTGTGTGTGTGTGTGTGTGTGTGTGTGCGCGCGCGCGCGTGCGTGTGTGCGTGTGCGTGCGTGTGTGCATCTCATAACTAGTAACCAGTGTGCACTAGGGCCCGTCACAATAGTGTGCACTGGGGCCCATGGTAACTACCTTATACCACTGCCACTGGTTGCAGTACAGACCAATATAAAGTACTGTGATTATTGACATGATTGTTTAATAAAATATCACTTGTTTGGGCATGAAACTTCATTCTTGACCTTTGAGACAGCAGTTTGAAACCGTTCCGGTGCAAGGCCCACTTACTGTTTTTTTCCCTAGGGCTTTCAACCATTTTAACCTGTCTTCTTCAGCACATGGGTTTGTTCAGTTGTCATGGAGATGGAGCTGTTGACCTGTGAGCTCTGTAGCTTGAATTTACCCACAGCACTTGTGAGACTTTTTGTTCATGTAAAAGTTAAAGTCCCACTGTGTTTTGCTTATTGTTACATCACTGTGATGTTTAAGCCTCACTGTGCAGAATACCGTGCAGTTTCATACTAGAAGAATGTTTTCACATTCATCTGATGAAGGAAGGGGGAAAGTTTCTCTGTGTTTCTCTTGTTTGCTTTGTGTGTGTGTGTGTGTTTGTGTGCATATCAAATGAGATTAATGTACTTACATGTGATTTCCAGAATCCATGTCAAATGTCGTGCCATGGAAACACTAATGTCACATGTTACATTGTAGGTCAAACAGCATTTCACATGTAATAACTTTACATATTTCACATGTGGATTTTGAACATTACTCTGTCAACCTTGTATAATGGATGTAATATAGGTGACTGTGGCTCAGGAAGTAGAGTGGGTCATCCTCTAATCAGAAGATTGATCCCTGGCTTCTCCAATCCTCATGTTAAAGGGACAAGATACTGAACCCCAAATTGTGAGTGTGTATGAACGTTTAACTTGGCCACCAGTATGTAAATGGCTGAATGTAGAGTGTTAAAGCACTTTGAGTGGTCAGAAGACTAGAAAGGCGCAATACTTTTTGAAAAATTATCCTTTAAACAATTACAAATATATAATTTTATATATAGGCCTACTACAATGTTTTGCAAATATAATATCATATGAATATATGCAACATATTTGTCCATTGCAATGGGGCCAGATGAGTGGTCTGCACTAACCCTGCATTCTTATGACCCCGTCTTTCTCTTTTTTGTCCTGTATCACCTTGCCATGGCCGGAATATGCTCTAATGTTCCTTCATTTTAATGTTTTCCTTCTTTTCCTGTCTTCACATGTATATACTGTATATTTTAATGCACTTTGAGTTGGACACAGGTATTTAGAGCATGGTACATTCTCACTGTCTCATCAGGAAACCTTTGACCTGCCAGACTTTCAGTTTGTGGGATTTTTATCTTCAGTGCATTTACGCTCACTGCAACATATCTTATCTGCCTCATAGACCTCAGCCTGCCTGAGCCTGAGTCTGTAGGCCTGATCAGGTGGTTTCTATTGGGTCAGACATGTCCTTAATAACAGCTGAAGAAAACTATTTACTGTCCTTTTTTTATAATTTTATCTGGAATTTTAAGGCCCAGTCTGCAAGAGCCTTCTGCAAAGACCCATTAGAACATCATGCATGAGTTGTCAGAGCCACTTTATGAGTCCATATTCAGTATTTCATTCATCCACATCTGCTCATTCACGCCCTGTTAACGCTGGAACCAGACAGCCTGGTCCTCACTCTGACTTTGAGGCTTAAAGCTTCAGTATTTAGGGAATGTGTTGACTTGTTTGGCAGGGTATAACAAATCAAACCGCGCACAAGCACGTGCACTGCGTTAGTGTGAGCGTACACGCGCGCGAGGCGGCGCCACTAACTGTAATTATGTGGCCGAAAGCTCCTCCTCCGCCAGGTCTTAATCCCTTATATCCGCTAATACCGCCACTGACGTTACCCACAAGCACCAGCTGCCCGTCAAACAACACAGCAAAGTTCCGTGTTGCGGAGCTCCGAGTCCGGGACAGATTTTCTCTTTACTTCCGCTGAAGTCTAAGGAGAGACAAAGGTAAGAGTGTGTGAACACCTGAGAGCATAGTGCAGTAGAGTCGTACCTGTCCGTCAGTCAGACAGGTGCCTGGCTTCATATTATAATGCTGACAGGTGGACGCCTCTTTTAAAAGGTTGCTCCTATTTGAATGTTTGTGATTATTAATATTTATAAGGTGATTGTGGCAAAGTGTTACATATACAACATATATGAAGAACACATTTACCAGCACTTTATATCTCCACAGGTTGGTGTTTAATTTAAGTTTCTTCTCAGCCAGTCAAAGTTAATAATCAATCATTGGAGGCTGAAACTCAGCAGCATTCAGCTTGTTATGCTATTATTATTATTATTTATAGCTGCTCATGGTAGGCAAACTCATCATGTCAGATCTTGTCACAGACCTTTGTCTCATTTCTATATTTAAGAAGGTGTGTCAACTAAAGTTTGCATGGTAGTATCACTTTAACTCAGTGGTGTAGCAAGCTTGGGCTAATATTTACTAGTGATTCCTGGGATTCCTCAGCTAGAAGCCTGTCTGAATATCTGAAACCAGATGCTATGGGGGATCACTATCTCTAATGAGGGGAGTGTATACTAGCCTGTGCAGTCCAAGGAATGGAGGTAGACCAGTTTATGTGAGTCACTGCTGAAACAGTGGGTGACAGACTGCTGTCTTGTTACGCTTGGTCCTGGTGTTGCTCTGCTTCCTGTCACCTCTGTGTGACGGCTCTGTCATTGTTTTCTCTGTGCTCAGTCACCTCACCGACATGGCCTCGTCTGACGATGCAGAAGGGTCTCTGACTCCTGTGGATTTTATCCAGCTGCAGCATTACATGGACGGTAAGTATCACCGTCTCACTTCTCTTTGTTGCAACAGTTATTAATATTACCAGCATGTCAGTGTTGCATGTTAAACATAGAGAGTCCAGTTGGAGAGGCTGTCAGTCTTCACTGTGGAGGAAAAGCAAGTTGAAGTAGTAGTGAGTTATATCTGCTTATGACTGAGTATGTGTATATAAAGACCTATGATTCCAGAATGTAACTCAAGTACTGTACATAAGTGTTTCCATTTTGTTACCTTACACTACTCTGCTCCATTTCTGAGGGACATAATGTACTTTTCACTGCACCACATTTATCCGACAGTCAACAGTTACTTTGCTGATTAAGATTTTAAATACATAACATATAGCTCTGCTCATAAAATGTGACACGTTACAGGTTAAACCACCCAACTGTACATGTTTACAGTGTCAGTTAGAACAACTGCAACATTTGACTAAATATTACTTCAGATCAATGTATCAGTAACAATAGTTAAATAATTGACTGTATTATACATCATAGGTCTTTTACTTTCAATACTTTCATGTATATTTTTGCTTCTTCTGTAATTTTATTTTGAATTTTGAATGCAGGACTTTTACTTGTAATAGTATTTTTACACTGTTGTATGAAGTGTTGGATTGTAACTAAGTACAGTTACTCAAGTATTGTACTTATTACACATATTTGGGTTCTTGCACTTGAGTGGTTTCTTTCTACTTCAGCACAGGTCAGAGGGAAATATTTTACTTTTTCCTTCACTACAATTATTTCACAGCTTTAGTTACTAGTTACTTTACAAATTAAGATTATTTGCATATAAAGCATATTAAGAGTCTTTAAAATATGATGTTTTGTTATAAATTAAACTACCCAACAGTACATACAAGAACAGCTGCTGTGCTACTGCACCACTAATTGTATGCTACGTTTACCTAAGGAAAGGGAAACTTCAGTATTTTTCAACCTGGACCTTTTTTCTAATGTTTTTGTGTTTAAGTGACTAATGGGAACAACAATTTTTGATATGGGACCAGTAGCAGGGAAACTGGCTGCAATTTAACCACTTGGCACCATCAATTTACATCCAATAAAAGTGTTTGTTTTTGCCACTGACAGGCTCGGATTATAGTCTAAATTTCTGACAAAATGATGGAAAGGATCCCTAAACATATAGACTTTTTTGTCTAAGGGTAAGATCCTTTTTGTTTAACCTGAAACGGCCTCAGAATTGCAAATGCCAAACCCACCAGACTCAATTTGAATAAACAGTTATTTTAGTGTGTATAAAACCAGCATATTTTCACATCTAACTAGGTGAATCTGTGGAGGGATCCTTTCCATAATATCACCAGACACTTAAGATAACAATCTAAGCCTGTCTGTGGCCAAAACAAGCACTTCTAGTGGACTTATTGACAGTGCAAACATGCCCCAAGTGTTAACTTCACATCCTGCTTTGCAGCTGTCGGCTGCAGCACTCCTGCTCAGTATTGGACCAATTTCAAAAATTGTTTTTCCCATTAGTCACATAGGCACAAAAACATAAGAAAATAGGGTCCAGGTTAAAGATATTGACGCTACCCTTAAAGCAAATTGATCTGAATTATTTTAACAACCCTGATGATTTGGAATTTGTGAGGAAGGGAATAAATATCAGTGACTTAATGATTGAAAGGAAAAAAACAATATAAAGAAGAGAGTGTAACTACAGTTGAAGATGAAAAGAACAAGACAAGCTCACACACTTAAATCAGTCACAGAGCTCCTGCAATCTCATTCTTTCAGTTCATACGTCCAGCACAAGAGAGTAAAGGGGAGTGACACACTGAAACATCTGTGCAAGTTACTCCTGTGTGCTACAGAAACTAAGAGACTAGATTTATCTGACTGATTTGGGTGTGCAGACTTTTCTTACACCTGATGGATCCATTACTTTTGTTTCCAGTTCTTTAAAACTTGAAAATCTCTCCTTTGAGATCAGTCAGTTTTTACATGAAATGAGAGCAGCACTAAGCACTGGTCATAAAGTATGTGACTGAGGAGATTGCTCCAGACAGTCAGTCTCAACCCCAAAAACACAAACAACAAACTCCAAACTGTAAGTTCATGCTTTTGTGTTGCACTTGGAGCTAATACAGAATTGGATAGACCTGTTGACATGAAACAAAAAGTGGTATGGGGCTAAAAATATTCTGCTGTACACTCAGAGGCTTTGAAAGAAATGAAATGGGTGTGTAGGCTTTTAGTGTCAGAGAGGAGAGGTAGAAATTGCACTGTTGGATAATGGATGAAGGGATAATTACACCCGCTCCTCTCCGGACCCGAGAAAAGCACCGCTGAGTTTTACCTCTGACAGCACGTCCCGGATTTATTGTACGATACACACAGTACGTTCATGTCCACGATTAGGGATCATCTCACATTTGCTTCCTGTTTTAGCACTCAGGAGCCATGTAATTACAGTGTGGGACAAATGGCAGATAGACAATGGACAGACTAAGCTCCTCTGCTCTCATTTTTTACTCCAGAACATTTTTCTTTTTTTATCAGTCATGTTCATAACAGACAGAGAGCAAAGATTCATATCAGAAAAAGTTAGTGGCTTTAGAATTTATTCCTTTTTTCATGTCATTTTCTATTTGTTAATGCACCCTTCTCTTTGCAGAGAGCAATTTGAAGGTAAAAGATGTGATGAAGGAGTTTCAGGCTGGGGGTCGGCTGGCCCAGCACAGCTCTGGAGAGGTAAGTCATGACGCAGATCCATTCTAGACAGTGATACATGTGGTAGTAATTTCCCATTTCTTCTGATACATTTTGTGGGAAGTTTCTGAAGATAACTATTATTTTGGTATTAATTAAAGAGAAAATAGGATTTTTTTAAAAAAAATCTTTAAAAACCAACTTTATATTCATTTACTGATTATTTGATATTGGAAACTTTATTCTACATATATGTGAGGTGTCTGCTTGATTTTTTTTCTTGGATATTGTTTGGGAATTACCTAGGAATTACAGTTGTGGTAAAATAAAGCATTACCTTGAACTTAATATAAAAAACACATTATTGTTTTGACCCTGAGTCTCCTGACAACCAGTGGAACCGCCAAGGGGTGGGTGGGAGTCATGGCCACTGTGATACTATTCCTGGTCCCCCTTATGGATATAATAATAATAATATGGATATAATGTGTGAGTTGGCTTGTTCCCCACTCATTCAGATTAAAGCTGTATATTTGTCTTTTCGAGAAAAATGACAGCCAGCCAATTTGCATATACAGATACATAACATATTAAAACAAAACTTTTGTGGGACTCAAAACATGAACTGTGGCAGTATTAGTCTACACACAGCAGATAATTAGTAAAATGAGAAACAAGTGTGTCAGTATACGATTCCTTATCTCTCATATTGACATAGTTTTCATAATCGAATTCCTGAAATTCATTCATTCTTTTGGTTTTGGTGCCTCTATGAAAACATTTCTGTGGGTGCCACTGCTGACATTGAGTTTTCTTTCTTTCCACAGTCCGTTGATGAGGCAGGTTTCTGTCTCTTTCTCAAGACCTACCTAGAACTGGATAACGTCCCTCCAGATTTCTGCCAACGGCTGTTTCGCTATTTTCAACATGTGGAGCAGGATGGGTGCACAGAGAGCCCTCTGCCCAAAGGAGGTAAATCATTCTGAAAGCCTGATCTCCTTTTACATAACAGCATTGAGCAGGTGTGAAGAGGAAAAGCTCTACAATCATACTCAGCTCTGAGTGTGCTTGGGAATGCACCGCAGAACATCCTGAAAATACTCAAAGAAATAAAGAATGCTGCAAAGAGTATTTCCTGTTGGACACTTTGTCCAACGCCCACCTGTTTGTTTGTCTTTTCGTTTTATCTTGTAGTGCTGCGTCATAGGGATGAAGCTGTAGGCGTTCAGAAGCTTTGGAGATTAGTGCACTTGTATTTTGTTCTTCTGTTTGCTTTTATTGTTTCATTGCAGCAGTTCTACATTTTCATGCGAAGCTAAAAAAAACAAACATGCTGTTTTAGACCTCAGGAAAGTAATAAAAGTTTTCAGCTGGGTCAAAAGGTTGTGTACATTTCTTTATCTTCAGGTGGGGTCTTTCTTCGTGATGTGTCCTGTTACTTCTCGGTGCTGGAGGAAGGACAGCCACGGGAGAAGCTCGAATGTTGGTTCAATCTTCCTTTTGGGCATTTTGCTACATATTTATTATAGTGCATTTGAATTTAACATACATTTCACCAAGGTACAAGGCGGTGAAATAACCCAATGTTCAGCTCACTGACTGACTTTGTTTTGTTTCTAGATACTTTCAAACTATACGATAAAGACTGCAACAAACTCCTGGACAGCTCTGTAAGTCACTCAAAATCACTGACAAGTCTTTCTAACTGCTATATTAATGACCTGTGTCTAAATCAACCAAATATTTAGGGTGCTCTTCTTTTTTTATATAGCCTGTAAAGTTGATTTGTAAGTTGAAACGCTGAAAGGTGAAGAAGCAGCACTGACAGTGAACATCTTGCTAATGTACTGTATAGTATCTTGCTGGTGCGACAGTTGGCGACATGGATACAATATGAGCGTCAACAACACAAATTTGACCAAACTATAAATAAAAGTTCTTATTATACACTACTTATTGACTTGCTGGTTTTGCATGTACAGCACACGTCAGATTTGTCAGAGGTTTTTGCACACTGATTAAGATGAATATGGTGACTGTGAATGTAAACCCTGTTGTCTCTCCATCAGGAGGTGGATCGTATAATCATCCAGATGATGCGAGCTGCTGATTACCTGGGCTGGGATGTGACTGAACTCAGACCAGTATGAGTCTCATTTTGATTGCTTTTTCATTTTTAAGCTTTTAATTCTGTCATTAAATAATGTCTTAATCTTTTGAAAAAGTAAACAAGTAGTCAGATAACTTAATATCTTTGACAAGTAAGATAATTAAATTTTGTTTTACACCAGAAATAGAGCTCAGTTACAGCATCTGAGGGATGTTAAAGGAAGATTACTATGCAGGATGATAAATAGTGAGCAGATGCTTTTATAATTGAACAGGTGCTCAAAGAAATGATGACAGCGATTGATGCGGATGGCAGTGGGACTGTCACTCTGGACGAATGGGTGAAGGGAGGCATGAACAACGTGCCCTTACTTGTTCTGCTTGGACTGAAGGTGACAGAACAAACACTTGACTTCACATACAACACATACGTTTTCCCACAAAATCCCCAGCTGTGGTTCCTGTTACATTTCATTTAGTCTTTTTGTCTTCCCCTCACCCACAGATGACAGAAAAGGATGGGCAGCACATTTGGAGGATGAAGCACTTTAACAAGCCGACCTACTGTGGTGTGTGTCAGAGCATGCTGCTCGGCCTCGGGAAGCAGGGACTCTGCTGCAACTGTAAGAGCTCACAGCCGCCATCAGGGGGCAGCCACACACCTCATGCACAGTATAAATGAGGTGGAGGAGTCACACCTTTTCAAGTTCATTGTCTATAATTACACATACTTTAATATGGAATCATGTAGGCTTTTAGGGGAGGAAGCTTTATCTTGACCTCAAGTCACCTCTCTAATCTTCTTCCTCAGGCTGCAAGTACACCGTCCACAATCAGTGTGCCAACAAAAATCCTGACCCCTGTGCTCGGACCTTTGTCAAATCTAAGAAGGAGATTGGTGTAAGGACACACACAACACTTCATTTCCTTTTCCTTACATGTGTTTTGTTTCTGTTTTTCAAAGTTACAGGAACATAAGGTAAGGGAACATAAGTCCACCTCTCAATACTCTCCGACTTATATCAGCCCATTTGTTCACACTGAAGATGTTGAAAGAAGTCACAGATAGATAGTTTCATTTTTTAAAAGTCTCAGTAAACTCCTAAAACAGTTGGGTGCTGTAGTTGTTAGCAAACATCAGTCAAAAGTCTAAGTCAAAGGAGTAAAAAGTGCGTTTGTTGGGGACTATTTTCAGCTGTGGATTGATACACATTTTGTTTACGAGTGAATATAACTGGCAGCAGGGCGGTGTATGTGGGATTGGCCCAAAATAAACTACAGTGCGCATGTACATTGTAATGAAAGAACATGTTCTCCAGTGCAACGGTGTGTCTGATAGATGTGTTTTAATGGTTTCTGGAAAACAGTGGAGGCCGATGGCACAGAGAAATTAGATGAATCAGGCTGTGGGTATACAGTCAATCGCTGTAGATGATCAATAATATACAACATCACCAGAATTATTCTTTAAAGTCCTTTTTGTTACATTTAAATCAAATCTGTGTGACCTTGCGTTAATTACTTTTTGTCAAACAGCTGTTTTCAAGGTCAAGAATGAACTGAAAGCTCATATTTGACATTTGAATAAAACCATGTCAGTTTTCTTTTTACTGACCAAAAACCAAATGGCAGCAGCAGTAAATACAGCCGGCACAGTCTGCTCTGCACATCTGCTAAACGTCCTGATTTTGCACAAACTTAGACAATGATGTGTTCACTGTCTTTTTCCGGTGTCAAAACCACAACTCACGATCTGTAATGGATCACAGCAGTGAACCGGCCAACTTTCGTCAGCTGCTTCCGGAGGTTTGATAGGCCAGTGTGCTTCAGGGATATCTGATCTGTTGATGCATGTCTGGCTGTCAATGGTTATCCAGAAAGTCATAAATCTGACGCTGTCTTTAACTTCCACAGCTGCTCTACGGAGGGTGTGGTCTGTGCTGATTCTAAGTCAACTATAACATCATGTTTCCTGCAGTCATTCAGGGCTGGGTTGTGGTTTGGCACCGCTGTAGTCAACATGAACGTTGATCCTGGAGCGGAAGTTGGATATCATCTTAAAGGGACAGTACACTGCAAAATCTGTATGAATTGCAGAGTGTTGGAGATATTGTCTGTAAGAGAAAGAATTTTGAGGTGAACTGCCCCTTTAAGACTTTCCTTTACATTATGAGTAGCGGGGACAGGTGATAATTACTTTAGGTGATTATAAATGGACGAGGAAATCATGGTTCTGCAATCACTTCCATCGATCAAACTGTTTCTCTTTATAGAAAAAAGATAACTTATAGTGGTGATTTACATCTTTTCCCCACCTTTTTCTTCTTTCACTCCTCTGTATCTCAGGTAGCAGCTCACGACTGGATCAGAGCTGACTGTAAGTCCAACAAGTGTCATGTCTGCCACAAGAAGATCAAAACTTTAGCAGGGAGGCGTTGTGCATGGTGCCAGGAGATGGTGAGGAGTGTGTGTGTGTGAGGACATTAGTGAACAAGTTAGAGGGGATCTCTTTTTGTCGATGGTCACTTAGTCTTGTATCTTTTTAAGCGTCATGATGAGTGCACTTCCTCTGGCTCATCGCCCTGTGATTGTGGACCACTGAAAGATCATATACTGCCTCCGTGGGCGATATACACCGTCTCCAAGGTAAAATGAGCAGCACTGTAAATTTGGCTGTAGCAGAGTTACATTTTTAGAATTGTTGTGTGTTTGTTGGTTAATTGTCCTGTGTTCCCTGCAGGATGAGGACTCCAGCTTGTTAAACATCACCCCTGATGGCCACATCCTCCAGGTCTGCTGTAATCAAATCTTCCTACACAGTTTTTTCCTCTCCCAACTGTACACCCATGTGTTTTCTCTGTGAGGTCTCTTTCAAGTTGTCAACTCAAACCACCATCTGCATATCGCTGTTCTCGGGAGAATCTCCAATTTCAGTGATTCGTCATGTTATTTTTTTTGAAGGTTTTTATGTTTAAAAGGACTGTACCAGTGTTTTCTGAGTCTGTTTGGTTCAGTGTGTTGGATGGAGTCCTGGACAAATACGCCCATCACGGTTATGTTCACTTCAGATGGGACAGGCCCACTGATCCAAAATTTACAGTACCAGACACTCACCTCCTGTCACGAGCATTAAATCATGTTGGTTTCAATCTATTCCTATGGTAACAAGTTTTAATTGTTGAAATGAAGGACCAAAACTTAGTCCAGCAGCATAATTCACTACTCTCGTAAATATGGCTAAATACACTGCTTCTTTTTGTTGCTCAGATTCTGCACATTTTTTAACATTCACTGCCAACATTTTTCATTTGAGTATTCCTGAAATCTAAAAATATCTGCCATGGCAATCACAATATATCATCATAATGTTTTAATATAAAATAAATCAAACTTTTTTTAGCGTGAGACACAAAGGAGTCATGGTGCATTGTGGTCCGTCAGCGAAGGTTTAGAATTACCGTGCTTTACCCAGGCTATCTATAAAACCTCCTCTTATCTTCTTTATTCGACAGCAGCAAACGTTAGAATGCTGCTGCCTCACAGTTATTATACATTATATACATCTAAGATCTGTACAGTTACATAATCCATCAGATCTTAATCTGTCATGTCTTCTTCAGATTGTTTCGATTCCAAACATCCACCCTCTGCTGGTGTTTGTCAACCCAAAAAGTGGAGGAAAGCAGGGTGAACGGTAAGCAGCTGAAAGTCTCAATATGTTTGTGTAACTTTCTTTTACTCCTAGTGTAAAAGCAATCTATTCATTTTTATGTCATTTTAAGAATATGGTCCCTCTCACTTCCTGGATGTGTTTAACTGTGTGTGTGTGTCTCTTGTTTTCCACAGAGTGCTCAGGAAGTTTCAGTACATGCTGAACCCGCGTCAAGTCTACAACCTTTCCAACGGAGGTCCTGCACCAGGGTACAGTACACTTTCACCATTATAACTGTACACATTTGAGTTTCTTCATATTAACGTTTTGTTTGTTCCTTTAGACTACACCTCTTCCGCAATATGCGTGACTACAGGATCTTGGCGTGTGGAGGAGACGGCACTGTTGGGTGGCTCCTGGATGCTATAGGTATTGTGGCTTTTTTTTTTTTTTTTTTTTTTTTTTTTTTTTTTAAATGATTAAGGTAACCAGCGACTGTGGCTCAGAAGTAGAGTGGGTCGTCCACCAACCGGAAGATTAGCCTTTCGATCCCCGGATCCTCCAGCCCACGTGTCGAAGTATCCTTGGGCAAGATACTGAACCCCAAAATGCTCCCGATGGCTGTTCCATCGGTGTGTCAGTGCGAGGGAATGGTTACTGAGTAGCAGGTGGCATCTTGTATGGCGGCCTTGACCACCTGTGTGTGAATGGGTGAATACGACATGTAGAGATTGAGATCAAAGAACTAGTGGCAACAAAGGCCGACTGTTGCATCACCTCATATCTCCTGTGTCTCGGCTAAAAAGTTACACCTGAACACACCGTAAACACTACAGCTGATGCCTAATTAGCACTACGTTCTGTGCGAGAAGAAATCATTCTCCACACCAGCAGGTGGAAGTGGTGTTCAGGAATGCTGACAACAGCTGACTAATGCCAACAGCATGGGACGCGTCACACGAACAAGGAGACACTCACCAAAGGCCCAACGCTGACCAATGGCTGACCATTACCTTGGTGTGTCAGGGCCGTTAGATAGATGTAAGTGTGCGTTTATTGGTTGAACACATGAGCCAGTGCAGCACCAGTAACTGCCATTTTAAAACACCCGTTAGCCACATAAACAGAAGAAAACACAAACAAATGACCTGCTGAAATGGGGGACGTACAACTTAATTTTGATCTGTTAAAGCATTTAAAGAATCTTTTATAGCAGTGAGCAGTTCCTCTCAGGGAGTCCCCAGACCAGTTTGATCCACTGTCAAAAACCCCTTTAGTAGCGGCCCTTCTGGCTACCTTATTACAGGTAACAGAGCCTTGATGGGCTTCTTCGCCCGGGGCCCCTCAGAGTTTAGGATCCCCTCTGTCTAAAAGGTTAATAATGGACCTTTGATTTCAGACAAAGAAAACCTGCCATGGCATCCTCCAATAGCTGTCCTGCCTCTGGGCACCGGGAATGACCTGGCTCGCTGTCTACGCTGGGGAGGAGGTAACACCATTGTCACATGAGCTGCGATCCATAACTGAGGTATTGGCTCGGACGTTAGCTCCCTGTGTTTACTTTTTCTGCTTCTTTTCGTAATCCTGCCAAAGGCTATGAAGGGTCAGACTTGAGAGAGATCCTGAAGGAGATCGAAGCGAGCGAGGTGATGCCCTTGGACCGCTGGAGCATCCAGGTGATACCAGAGGACCCCCAAGATGCAGGAGACCCTGTGCCCTACCACATCATTAACAACTACTTCTCTATTGGAGTGGTGAGTCACTGCCTCAGCAGGGAGGAATGATAACATCACACCCATTTCTCCAATAAAAAAAAGCAAAAAAACAAACATTTCTTGTAATTTGTCATTGATGTACACAAAAAAAAAAATATCTCTGACAGGATGCCTCTATCGCTCATCGTTTCCACACAATGAGAGAGAAATATCCACAGAGATTCAACAGCAGGTGAGGATTCACACTAACTGTATGAAAGTGTTTACCAATGAAAAGTTTAACGGAGTTCCATTTTTTTAAATCTTATTCTCTGTTGTTTTCATTAGAATGAAGAACAAACTTTGGTATCTTGAGTTTGCCACTTCTGAGACAATCTCTGCATCTTGCAAGAGGCTGACGGACTGTCTCTTGATTGAGGTTAGAATATCTAATGCAGTCGTGTTGCTGTTGTGCCAAAAGTAATTATCTGTAATTCACATAATTGCTCATGTTTTAAGTCTTGCTGTTGTTCCATTGAGTAAACAACCTGTTGTTTTGCCTCCACAAGTGCTGTGGGAAGACTCTGGACCTGAGCAGCATGTCTCTGGAGGGCATAGCTGTCCTCAACATACCCAGCATGCACGGAGGCTCCAACCTCTGGGGCGAGTCCAGGAAGCCTGATAGTGTGCCAGAGGTAGAGCACAGTGAAGTTATCACTGACCCTGAAGTTCTTAAAACAATCTCTCAAGGTCTGTACTCTCCTAAATCACCACATCTTTTTGTGTCCAAATATTGGCAGTAAACCCTCCCTGCCATCATGCACGCAGATGTCATCAACCTTGTTTAATTTATGACTAACTCATTGAATTTGATCTGTGTGTGTTTCGTCACTCCACAGATATGAGTGATAAGCGTTTGGAGGTTTTGGGACTTGAAGGAGTCATAGAGATGGGACAGATCTACACAGGACTGAAGAGTGCCGGGCACAGGCTGGCACAGTCTTCCCAAATTACTATCAGGTTGTGTACTTTTACCTACAGGTGGATAACAAGAATACCTAACAGTATAAGACAACAAAAACAAGGTTAAATGTGGCTATTGTTTTCAACTGTATTATATTGTCAGGTGATTCTGGTATTTTATCTCTCTCTATGTAGTCTGTTGTAAACAGTATAAATAGTACAGTATAATTAAATCTCAATCTCTTCCCTCCCTGTGTGCAGGACAATTAAAGCCCTGCCCATGCAAATCGATGGGGAGCCCTGGATGCAGCCTCCATGTACTGTAAGTGTTTCTAACCAGTGCCAAGAGACGTTACATGTTAGGTTCATATTTAGATCATATTTATCTGTGTGAGGTGTTTAAAGCCAGTTAGCGAGGGCCTAATCTGGGAGTTCTCAGGGCTATCACACTGTGAAATCAGCAAGTGTTCAATGACTCTCCTTTTAAACATTGTATTACATTCATTTAGTAGATGATATTATACAAAGTGATTTACAGTTATCGCACTGATACACTGTGTGCAGTTTGGGCAGGGGAAGCTTGAGGATCAATCCACCAACCTTGTCATTAAAAGCAAACAACTAACTGAGGCTATGTTTGAAATCACGTGCTATACTGTTCCTACTAAGTATGATGTAAAATTGAGTATTTAGTGCAGTCACACTTCATAGTTTATGGATTTTGTGTATGCAAGAATTACCTGGATGTACAGTACATGTGAATACATGTGCAAGAATTTCCAGGTATGTGACATAAGCCTTTTGGATGGAAATTTGCATTTCATAACATGGCAGACATGACCCGCCCTCTCTCCCTCTGATTGGCTGGTACTTGTTGCCTTTGTTGGCTGGTTTAGGCAAGAGGTGTAAGATTGGTAAAAGTTAGGGTAAGAATGGCTACGGTTACATGATGGCTTCTCATTCGGAATGAAATAAATCTGAATGAAATCATTCAGAATTAAAGTCTTTCCAGGTAGTTTACATGGGAAATATTCATTCCGAATGAGGGTTTACACGGGAGATCAGTTTAATCGCCTTTATTCAGGTCTGCGCAAGGTTTGGGGCAGGGAAGGTTTCTGATTGGATAGAGGGCGGGGTGGATGTTACGTATTTACGTTTACCGGAAGAAAACACTGTAGTCCTCGCTCCGGATAACAAGATGCTTGACGGCGCCGTTCTTAGTGCCTTTTTCGGGCGTGTTTTGCTTATATTCTTGAAGCAGCAGTACGACAACAACCTTGTTCTACTAATGCTTCATCTGTTGAGGAGGAGAAGAGAAATAGAAGACCGTGCTGTGGCGAATGGAAACCGGTGAGTGCAACGAGTCCGACTGCTCTATCTCAGCCCGTTGCTATGCAGCCCGTTGCTATGCGCGCTATATACGTCATCGCCCCAGAAGGGCAAGGAAATGAGCATGCGCAGAAAGACCGGAATGAATTTAAAGAAGAATGAGTGTATACATGCATACAAAATTCTTTCATTCGGAATGACAAACGGAATAAACCACCCCCTTTAATCGGATTTAATTTTCAATCGGAATGACCATTTTTCAATCGGAATGACCGTTTACATGACCACTTTTAATCGGAATGGCCTTTCATTCCGATTAAAAGTGGAATTAAACTGTGCATGTAAACGTACTAAATGTCAGGGTAAGGCAAACAGAGGCAGACTAAGGCAGAGTAGGGCAGATCATGGCTTTGCTATCATACAAAACACAAATTAGCTTACTGAACATACTCAATTTTCCCCACAATGCATTGCATCTCTTCAGACTGTGCAGTGGTGGAGATGTTGAGCCAGGCTAAAAGCTGTTCAAATGTCACTTAATTATGTTTTAATATTATTTTAGACGAGAGAATATTTAGATTCACAATATATGGTCAGTTTATCCAAATAACGCCTGTTTGGAAATTTCCTGGTATGTTTTCAGAGATGTGAGAGCTGCTGGCTTGATCAGACCGGCTGTCAGTCATGTGATACAGTCATGATTGATTTGTTTGAGTATACTTAAATGTGAACAGTCCGTTGGTAAATTCATTCATTAAGTAGGCAGTTTGCAGTACATACAGACTGAGTGTGTAGTAGGCAGTTTTTTTAGAATACAATTTTGAACACAACCTGACTCTTTGTCTCCCAGTTACCCACAATTCATAGTGTCCAAATCCTAGAAATGATAGCAGGGGAAATCTAAACTCTGAAACAACAGCTCCCAAGTACAGGCTTACGTGCAAATAGCAGCTCTTTCTAATATTTATTCTGCCGTCACAGCTTCACAAACCTCAATATGTTCATACAGGTGAATCAGCACCTCTCTCAAACAGTTTGAACGTAAAGTGAACATTATGACCTTCCTAAAGGATGGATTAATTGCAGGACTGCTGTGTAAGACCACATTAGTTTTAGCTAGGTGTACCTAATAAACTGGCAACTGAGAGTTTGGAGCCTTGGCACCCTGTTATACTCACTGATCATCAGTCATGCAGGATTCAGCGCTCAGGGCTGAGGGTGGTTATTGGAATTGGGTCAGTGGGAGATTAAATATCACAGGAAGGGATGAGTATTTAAAGTAAAAATACACTGTTTTTGTTGTTGTTTTTCACAAATTCTTATTTTTTCTTTATTATAGATCCACATAACTCACAAAAACCAAGCTAACATGCTGATGGCTGCACCAGCGAAACCAACCGGCTTCTTTCACTTCTAGTAGATAAACTCTTCCACCATGTCCTCCCGTCTGCTGAGGTGTTTAGGCATTTTAAAGAGTACGTCCGACGCTGAGTGTGTAACTGTGTGTTTCTATTATGACCTATTGTTGTGTGTGTGTCATTTGGTCTTAATCCCTGATATAACTCTAAATAATTCCAGTTCAGTACAGACAGCTTGCACTAAGGCAGAGACCACACTGACAGACCAAATAAAAGGTGCGAGTTTCACTACTAGTCTGATTGCTGCTGTTGTGTGCCAACTTCAATGTAATGCATTCATTTTATTGTTTATGTAAATAAAAGAGCAGAGCCTGTTGTTTACCTACACTACAGTGGTAAGAAATACATTTGCTTATTTTGTGTTGTACAAGCTTTTTGTGGTTAATTATATTTACATCAGTGTCTTTGTTCGGCCTTCAGAGACTCACAGCAGCTCACCTTGTTCAGCAACACGATCCTACCTGTCTGTTCTTGTGTCTTTCACTGTCAGTGTGTTAATTTTTAAGTGGTTTTTACTGTTTCTTCGATAGGTAAAGAAATGATGTGAGAAACACTGGAATGAATGTAACTGAATGTGGCTTTATAAAAGTTTGCTCTACAGTTAGTGCTGGGCACTGAGGGTTTGATATCGCTTTCCCAAATTTAGCAAGTTTAGTATAAAAAAAAAAACAGCATTCCACTGTATTTAATACATTGAATGGCACTGTACGAGAGTAATGTTAGTTTCCTGTTGTCATCATTGATGATAATTTATGTCTTTGCACCATCTACTGTATGTAACAAGGTTCTCACATTGAAAACAGTCACAAAATTCACAGAAACCTTCAAAAATCTAATGAAATTAGACATTTTTCACCTGATAATCTATTTGTGTGACTGGAAAAATGCTGATATTAAGATTTTGTTTTAGTGATGTGCATTATATGTCTTCAACTTTCAATAGTCAGTCTTGTGATGGATGTTCAGTGTACTTATTTACATGTAACACGCTCTCATGTTCATTTATCATCTTGTCTTAATGTGAAATTGTGTAGTTGTCCTTTGTCTTGAAAGTACTGCATACTCAGTTTCAGTAGACAGCATCACAGTTACTGAATTGTCCTCAAAAGTTCTTGCAGTTTCTGTTACCCAGCTACAATTATCTTTGTGATATATTGTTTGCCCTGTTTATAGATATATATATGTTGCAACTGAAAATTAAGCTCCTAAAGTCTTGGTTACACTGGAATAAGAGAAACGTGTGCATTAAGCTGCTTATTATGAGGGTACAAAAACACCATTTTCATCTGAATTGTCTCTATAATAAAAGCACAAATGGCAGCACAGCCAAATGTTTACATGGTATTATAAGTTACAGATCTTAGTAAGATGCTTCTCACACTCCTGTCAAAGCAGAAAAAAACACAAATTTGCCTGTAAAAACATCCATATAAGTGTGAAGTGTACTTCCATGATTATCTGTCATAAAAATGTTTCTCAGCACGTAACAATGCTTATGTTTAAAAGTACTGACTTGTGTGATTATTTATAGGATTGTGTGTATGCAGTATTACTCTGCATGCAGCCCACTTATTGAAATTCTCAATCTAAGTTGCTTAAATCTCCCTAAATCCAAAGCATGGCAGCATACAGTGAGGCAGGCTTTGCGTCAATGTGGGAGGGAAAGCAGGACTAATCCAGAAGTGGCAACAGCAAACGGTTAGTTCAGTGTGGATGGTATGTGTGAGTGTGTTTGTGACACACTTGAACTCTCTCGGGAGATGGCATCAGACAAAAGCAAGAAGCCACTGACTGAGGGCTGGGAGTGATGAAAAAAGAGCAGAGAGGGGAGTTGGTGGAAAAGATTACACAAGTATCTTTTCATATGCATACACTGAAAATGAAAATGAAAATGAAAATCTGACAAAATAAGAGGAATAATCTTATGCTGATGTGAAATCTTTTTGTATTTGTGTTGAGTGTAAAGGGATTATCCAATGCTGGCAAAGCAAGACTGCATTGGATCTTAAATTTTTATCTTTGTTCAGATTACTTATCAATAGACACTTTAGACAGATATTGAGGATTTAGTCACCACAATGTCACCACTTAGTTTGTGGACTCCCATTTTGAAGCCTATATAGACTTTGGCATTTGGGCTGTCGCCATCTTGGATTTTGGGAGCCACAGGTGACCATATTTGGACAAGGGAGTGGAGCTGTGGAGGAGCAAGAGGTGGATCAATCATAGACTGTAGCAGCGTATTTTCACAGAATGGTTTGTATGACATCCTACGAAAAATGCATGCACAACAGTTCTTACGATATCCAATGAATTACTGCCACATGAATGATGTTATGTCCGCAATGTGCTGTTTCATACTTAACGTAAAGTTACAGAGGTTAGCCTTAGGCAAGTAAAATTAATGTGGTTAGATTTAGGAGAAAAAACGTGAAGACGTACCTTTTGAATGTACAACTCCAGGGGAAAGTCACATAGAAAAGTCTGGGTTTTTGTGACCAATCCACCACCCCTACCCACTCGGAACTGCTTCCTGCAGTGCATTGGTCACGTGATTGCAACCTCTCAGATATGTATGAACTGGGGTGCATTACTTCTCGTAGAAAAACATACAGTTTGTAAGAACAGCCTGACTGTAGTGACGCCCTGAAGACAATCTGTCAATCAAATCAGCCACACTGTCAATTATGTTTAAATTTAAGCCTTCATAAAATGTAAATGGTTGAGTTACATAAAAATTTGACCGCTGTACAGTTGCTATAAAGGTGGAATTCGCTATAAAGACCAAAACTGTTTTTTGTACCAGGCTGTAAACATGTTTATTTCTGCTGTAAAGTTGGGCATTTTAACATTGAAGGTCTATAGGGATTGACTCACTTTTGGAGCCAGCCTCAAGTGGCAATTAGAGGAACTGTAGTTTTTGGCACTTGTGCATTGGCTTCATTTTTTAAAGCCAAAAGGTTGCTGCTTGATAGACACATGAGACATGTCTGTCAAAATGTGTCCGTAAAGTCACTGAAATCTCATTTTATAAATCAAATCTGTTATAACATCAGAATAGTTTTCACGTGACAAACTCTACTGGTGCTAATAAATGGTAATATACTGTACATGAACGATTTGTTAAATACAAAATTGACTTGTTTCAAGAATATACTGTACAAAAATGAGATAGAAGAAGTCTGATTGTTCTTCTCAAGGAAAATGATGATTTTTTTGCAGAATGGTCGTGCTTCAGAACATTTCACCTCTCAACAACAGTACTTAGGTGAAAGTAACAAAAGCAATTTAACATACATATATACTTTTACTCAGGTAAACATACTCAATTACTATCTACAAAATGTACTTAAAGTACCAAAGGTAAAATACTCCTAATGCATAATGGATGTATTATTGGATTACATTTTTTGAATGTTGCAGCTGGTAAAGGTGAAACTAATGTTAATAAGCTCTATATACTGCTGGGTTTCTTAATACATCATTATTTCTTTGCTGATTATATCGCGTAAAAATAATATGAATCTGAAAAATAACTAGTAATTAAAGATGCTAAATAAATGCAGTGAAGTATTACTGTATGTGCGTTACTTGCCTCAGAAATGTAGTGCTAATAACACAATATGTAAATACTCATGTAAAGATTATACTTAGATACAGTACTTGAATAAATGTACTTAGTTACTTTCCACCACTGTAACCTTACCTGCTGATCTGTGTGGTTCTATGCCAAGATATTTCATCATGTCTGCATACTGAGGTGAAGAGAATTAAACACTTCTTGCATTTGTGTTTAGCAGAGTGTTAAGTTTTCTAATGATGATGGTCTGGCAACAGTTAAATGAGACCACCACCGTAACTGTTTATGACTTATATTGAAGTCTCAACATTGTGCAGTAAATGTATTAACAATGTTTAGTAAAGAATGTCTGAGGCTAAAGTTGAACTGTAACAGGCTGTGTTTAATTCTTAATCATGTTAATCATGCTTAATTGACACATGCAATGTCTTTTGTATTTGTATTTGTGTACGTGCGCAACATGCCAGCACGTGTGTGTTCTTGCATGATTGTGTGAAAGCATTGGAAAGAACATGTCCAGTCTAGCCTGTTATTTTATATTCTTACTGCACCAAACCGAGCATCATGCTCAGATCCCTGTAATTCACTCCACTAACAAGCCGGTCTGTCCAGTCACATCAGCTGCAGGTTCTTCCCTCTTCAGAGAAACTTTCATCTGCCTCTCACCCTAAATGATCCCTCTCACTTTCTTCATACTTAAAAGTGAAACTAGATCACTCCTATAGATCCCCTGAGTGGGTTCAAGTGTTAGCGAGTGTTGGTTTTTCTGGTTGTTGTGGAAAAGTTAAGAGGTGAGGGGTATTAGGTGATGCTTAAATTGATGTTGACAAATGGACACCTGCAGCTGTGACCGTGACATCCATAGTGCAAATTGCCTGATGATGACTTTATGATGTGAAATGGTTTGTGATTTCACATCTCATGAATTCAGAGTGTGACCAGTCGTAATGGGCATATTTTATGGGTCAGACTGAAGATCTCACAGTGCTCAGATAATTACTTATGTTGACAGACAAAACAATGTCACCTCAAGCCCCCTTTAATAGCTGTGGCTATTTTGGAGCTTTCAACCGTATCACTTGATGCACACGTTAAAATTCCCATTCATCTGATCTGGATGAGTTTGTTTGGATCATGTGACATGAAGGAGTTACTTATTTGACCTTGAGGTGAGACTGTTTTGTTGATAGCTGTTTTCAGTGTCAAGAATGAACGATCTCAGCTCAGGCCAACGTGGACGAGAAGTCTTTACAGTATTTGAAATGTGTCTCCAATTGCACACCAAATGGACAGACTCCATCCGCTAATGAAGATCATGTGATACGATCAAAAGCCCACAGGACAGCTTTTAACTGACCTTGACATAAGAGTATTTTGCTGAGTATAAAAAATATAAGCTACTTTATTATGGAGATCCTAAATGTACATCATTAAACAAATAATAAAACATAATGAAATAAATAAACATATGAATATGAACAGAACATATCCTATACCAGGGGTAGGCGACTTGGGGCTCCAGAGCCGTATGTGGTTCTTTAAACCCTCTCCATTGGCTCCCTGTGGCTCCGACATGAAATTATCTGGAAATGAATAAAAGTTATCTTAACATTCAGATTTTCATTGTTGTAGGCCTAAAGTAATTATTGCATTTGACAGCTGCAAAAATGTGTAGCCTACATCGAATTTTAAAATGTTCTAACATTTCATCAACTAAAATTGTGCATCATACGTCTACGATCTGGTGCCTTTCCCCCAAAATTTTGCTGAACTTCAGTAGCAGTGGTTAGCCTGTAGCTCTAGAAAAGTCTTGAAATTAATTTGCTTTCACCACCAACGCTGCAAAGTGTAAGTACCAAATAATTATAAATAGCCCAGTGCAGAGTAGCCACCTTGTAGTAAATCATATTAATAAATGCTCATTAAGACATATTCATAATGTTGATGGGCTAATTTAGACTTAATTGGCTGTTACCTTAATTCAAATATGTTTTGCGGCTCAAGGCAGATTTCTTTTTCAAATTGGACAATAATGGCTCTTTTAATAGCAAAGGTTGCCAACCCCTGGCTTATACTATAACCATACACTTGTGAAATATTTTAAACTCATAATCATCTTTTACTTCCTGCTTCTTTTTAAAATAGTTGAATGCAGGTCACTTTTATATTGTTCCAGGTGTTTTTGTTTTGTTTGTTTGTTTGTTTTAATTTCCTTTGAGATAAAAATTCAATATTGAGCATTTTGGGCCTCTATACATTCAAAATGTATGCAGTGTTTGAGTCTCCATACATTTAACTGTGCAAATTAAATGACAATATGTGACATCCATTACAGTGCCATACATTTAAAGATAAATTGTTAATTTCTACTTTTAGCATCACAAAAAAAATGAATATTTGATTTTATCCACTTTATAATAATTCATGTAAGAGTGACATTGTGTGGTTACCATCAAAGGCATCTTAATTGACAACCAGCACGGTTTAATTCACTATCTTTTCATTAAATACAACATATTTGTGACAAGTAGGAGATATACAGCAGTACAGTCTGGGCTTAAACAATTTAGTATAAAATCATAAATAAACAATAACTGTTCACAGTTCAGGTGCTGAATAGTGATGTGTGCTTATAGCAGGTACCTTTTCCTCCACGAGTTTAGTTGAGACATGGCAGAGGGTAGGGAGTTTCTAGCAGTTCTTTCAAAACAGAAATCCTATTGTTGGAAAAAAGAACGCACAGGTGTTTCCTGGTGTGTCATGTGACAACACACCTCCCTGCTGTAAACGTTTATATCATCTACATTTCCACTCATAAAACGTGTGCACCTCCAAACTGCGGCTATTTTTAGCCTTTTTCATCCAGTAATAGCCCCACGTGAGCCCCGCTGTCGTTGTTGGGTTATATTTAGAACGCACGCTCCCCCG